TACTGAATGGAATCCCTCCAAACAGCTTGTTTGGGACAATAGTGATGTCAGCAGGATTCTGCTTTCTAGTGTCTTGTTCAACAAAATTTTCTTTAAACTTTTCATGTACTGTTGAGCCTTAAAGAGAAAATAGCTTTAAAAGGGAATTTCAATAAAAATACATGTGACAAAGTGTTCGACCTCATACACAAGTTTTGTGCACCTTTTTATCCTGCATAAAAGCTCTGCCTGTATAAAGTTTCATTAAACCTGTGTCTTGAAAGTAAGAAACATTTCATAAGGAGGGCGTAAAAGATGCTTCAGAATAGAGAATTTTTGACACCAAATCAAAAACATTTTCTCTTTCAACAATATGTTTAGCCATATATTCTGTTTCTAAGATATGTACCTTTCCATTATGCATGGGACCTCTAAACCATTTCCCCTCTTGTTGTCTTTTTGGCCACACACATAAGATCAAATTTATAGGCCTGTTGACCTTATATAATTGTGCGTTTTTCAAATTGCTAAAATCAAATCATAAAAAATAAATATAGGTATATATGGTACATAGTTACCCTCTCACCATTCAAGAAACTCTATAGATGATAGACTACAAAAAACTTGCCTTGATCAACCCATTTTCGTTCTCCAATACTTTTTGAATGCGCACATTTATTGAACAAATTGTTTGAAAAACCTTAGTACCAAGCTCATTAACAACGTGCTGAAGAAATGACTGGAATTTCACAAGATCGATTCCCCATCACCATCTGGTGTTGCTGTTGCACTCCAATGGAGATGCTTGGTACATGGTTGAACCCAGTCTTTTAAAGCCTAATACCCTTCCCCTTTGAAAAATTTAGCACCTCTTCTCTAAGTTCTAAAGAAATAATTTAATCAATGATAACCACTGAATTGACTCAGAGTGGATGAACATTTCCGAATGAAGTTTAATGAACCAGATTTGTCTGATGCGTATCAAATCTAAGCAATTTCATAATCAAATGCATTTTTTATGGTCATATAAACTGTTTTCTATTTCAATAAACCTTTCACAATTACTTTCAGAATACATTTAAATTTCAATTGATAATTTTGTTGAATCTCTCCTGGGATAAATGAGTGCCTTTCGAACATAAACTGCATAATAGGTAGTCAACTAACTTTTTTAAAGGTGCCATATATCAAAATAGTGCTTGAAATTTTGTGCTTTCCTTATAACTACTATATACTCTCATAACTTTCCTTATTGTGATATGTCGATCAGACACAAATGTTGATATTTTCAACCCAGCACTCTCCATGTTGTTAAAGCATCGTTTGAAACCTTCAAACTGAAAATTCTAGCACTTGTTTGTTCACAAAAGGATATGTAGCAATTAACTTATATTCGGACCAAGTTTTAAATATTTTCAAAGAAAGTGAAGTTTTTTGAAAGGGAAACATTTTCATTCAGATCCAGATTAGCCTGAATGAAAATGTTCCCACCCTGTAGAATAAGTATGAAATGCCCCCTTTGGAAATACTTTCTACAAATGAAGGAAACAGGAACAATGAAGGTGTCTCTTGAAAGCTAAGTTGCTGAATTGGTATTTGTTTTTAAAGTTGAATGTTTTAAATCTGATTGGTTGTTTATATTCATGTTTCATTGTCTGTGTTTTTAATTTTATTTTAAAATAGGCAATCCCCTTCTTTCTTTCAAAAACCTGACTCATTCAATGTCCAACTCGAGATCAGGCGAGACAAAAAATTTTTGAAATAGTCATGTCTTCCAAAAATGCAGCTGTAGTTTGCATGGTAATAGCCGTTTTCATAAACAAGCATCTCCTTTTTTGTCGCATTTCTGACATTCGACCTTAGAAGGAAGTAGAAAATTATATAAAACATATTGTAGCTTTAGTGTCTGATAACAACGATATATAGCAACTCAGAGATAATATTTTAAGCTCATATGACAGTGACTGTATATTAGAAGCTTCACACTTTTTTAACTTGTTTTGTCATTGGTGGCTACAGAAGATTTTATTTTCGGGGAGTTCGCTACAAAGTTAATTTTTAAATGCAGCTGACAATAATTTTGAATTATGATATGATGAATAACTGGGGAGGGAGTTTTTTTTCATTATCTTTTATACATTTTCACTTTTTTTGTCGTTTTTGTAATAGAGTGTTGCTCCTAGTCTTGCATTTTTCTTCCTAGCTTTTCTGTTGATAATTGTCGGCCACAAATTTACCAAATTCAAAGATGCCTTTGAATTTACTACCTCAAAGGTCAGTCAAAGGACATTCCACGAGATGGCCTTTCCTATGCAATCCAAAGTCTCCTTTCCTAGCTTGCAAATTGTAATCCGAAATCACCCTTCATAGCTTACAAATTGTAAAGGTGAAGTAAAGGAAAGATATTTCCTTTTTGGATCAATCTAATACATACCCAATCCTCTAGATCTATGCTTACTTTATCTCCACAAGTTCTACACTTCTCGTCCATGGCTTCTGTTTCATGAAAAATTATAAAAGTTATGTGAATGGTGTACTGTATATAGACAAATAGCAATAACTGTACATGGAGCATTAAAAATGTCTGGTACATAGAGATGATTAGAGTTTGATATCAAATTGTAAGATAATAAAATATGTTAATAGCTTGTTTTAAAATCTAATATCAATGTTTGAGATGAATGTAACATGTGTGACAAACCCGAGAAGGTGATAATTTTGGAGCCATATGCCTTTCTAAGTTTGTCTGTGTCCACATATTTTGGAAAGATTCTCTCACCGAGGATACCATCTGCATACTGTGGAGTAAAAGACGAATTCTGATAATATCAGGTCTAATTGTTACTCGAAATAGTTTCCCCAAATTGAAATTCCTGAAGTAACTTTAGCAGTGGTTTATTTTGTTTTTTAGTTGATCTCATTTATAATATAAAAGTTCTTCGGTGCTTCAATTTAATATACTTCAATCATCCGGACATAAAATTTCCAAGAGGTGTAAAGGGATTTTAATCGATCAAGTGCATTTGAAATTGAATTAAAAAATCCATCTGGAAACTTTATTTTTTTGGTCGGCCATTTAATCAAGGAAGCGCTCTACTTAAAGGTACTGGAGGACAAATAAAAATTTCAAGAAAATAATTAAAATGCTAACCTTAGAAAAAACCAAATCAGGAATATTCTTCTACTCAATATTTTCAGTTCTAAACCAGGACAAATGGTCTATTATCTTATAACAAAAAAGTCATCTTGCATCTTTTAAAAAGGTTGCTGTAGCTATTTGAAATTCGGCTTGATAAAAATTATTGCATTAATGCCGCCATTTCTGCCTTAGGTTGTGCAATACGTATGTTTGCTTCCCAAGTAAACTTGATTTTATATATGGTAAGATTCACGAAAGTGAATTAATATGTTAGCCTTTTTCTGATCAATTCAGCAGCAATTAAGCAGTACCGAATTCTTTCGAGTATTAGATACAGCTCTTCCAATCAGAAGGTTTATGATTAATTGATATTGTCTTACCTCTGTTCTGAATTTCTGGGCAACTAATTCTAGCGCAACATCGAGAATCTGAAAAAGAGAACAAAGCTACCGAGTAAATGATATTGGCTGATGCATTTATGCACCACATCAACTATTTCTCAAAATTTTAGAATTTTTATTATCTTGTCATTTAGGTAGCTTTTTCCTCGTAACATCAATAAATCTGTGTCATACACTGCTGTTCCATTTATATAAGAGTACAGAAGCCTGGCTGGCTTATGAGACAAGATATGCTGCAAAACTTAAAAAAGACACGATCTCCATAAGACTTTAAATGTAATGTTTATAAAAAACCAATAGATTTGTCTTCCAGTAGATTTCCAAAAGGTTACTTCTGTTAACTCAGTTACGCCATTTGCTAGATCATGGTTTTGTTCTAATATTATCAAAAGCTCTTAACAAAATTATCGCATTTTTTCTTGCACCAATACACAAAATAAATTTGAATAAAATTGCCACAAAAAAAAGATTAAATGCCGAAATGAATTGAATATTTTTGTTGATTACTATTGAACTGCACAGCAAAAAACAATATTCAATATTTATTAGAAAATACCGTTTTCAGCAGCTTTTCTGTTCTCTAGCCCTTGCATCATCTCGTCACCTGGCGAGCCTTGCTGAAGTGCTTGTTTGCTAATTCCTGAAAAACCTCATAATATGAAATAGAAAATATGATTTCATTTAAATTTGAAACAGTGCGAAAAAACCGGCTACACTTATCGGTTGACTTTAAATTTGCATGTGCGTTTTAAAAAGAACTTTTTGCTGGCTCTACGCAAATCCTTTTTTGCACCTAGCTGTTGCATCCCTTGGGAAAATATTTTGGTCCAAGTATTCAAACAGACTTTCATATAGGTGCAGCCGCTTAACCTCAAAAAATGGGCGAATTGCGCATTTGAAATTGAATCAAAAGATCCATCTGGAAATTTTATTTTTTTGGTCGGCCATTTCATCGAGGTAGCACTGTACTTGAATGGACTGGAGGCAAATAAAAAATTAAAATGCTAACCATCAAGCAATACGCGCCACACGAACACCCATCTTTTGCTTTGGATATTCAAGAGGCGGCTCAAATCTCCATGTTTCTTCGTCTCCATCCTTTCTTGCTTGCATACTTTTTCTTTAGAAAAATAAAAAATTTTGTGAAGAGGAAGGTAGCAAATTAATTTGATATAAAGTCTGTTGTATTTAAAATTTTTAATAAAATGTTTGATATATTTTTCAATTAACGAACTACGCTGAATAACGTTATTTTATAATAAATGGCAAAAACTGGGTTAACATCCGGTTGAGTTCTTTTTCTCTCAGTTCCCCATGCGCCGTTCCAAGAGGGTCCACGTATACCACTTTGCTTTGCTTTGTAGATTACCTTTATTGTTATGAAATGTGGTTATTGTTGACAAATTTGTTATCCAAAAATAATAAAAAACATGATAGGAAGAATAAATTTGGTAATTGGTACTTGAAATCATGAAACTTACGAGTAACACCCAATGGCTTGCAGACTGATTGTAACAGCCTATGCATATGTCTGCATTAAACAGCTGATCCTGTAATGAAATGGGCAGTAACTATGAAAAGATAAATCACTCCTTTGAACACTTTGAAAAAAATTATTGTTATAAAAACCTATACTCATTGGACTATAAGCTATGAACATTTACACATACCATGGTAAGCCTCATCGTTCCACAGTTTCCTTCTGACCCGTTCACCATTCTTCTGATCGTCTCTGAGTTTATTATATTGATCAATCGACCCTTTAAAAAACAATCAATACCTTTTTTACGAGGGTAACATTACTTAAGCAATTACATTTTGAATAAAACTTTCTGAATCATCGTTCAAAAACAATTTTGAAAAATATTGTCAATTATGGAAGACATTTTCGAGTAAACACCTTTAAGTTTTTTGTTTCTTGAAGGATTTTGTTTTCCCGCAATGATATTTATTTGATAATAATGTTTGTCTGTAACGGAAATGCAAAGTTTTGATTGCAAATGTTTTACAAGTACTCCTATTGTTATAGTTCATTTTTCGTCTTTTCGAAAGTGTCGTGATTGTTTAGAAAAAACCAAATCAGGAATATTCTTCTACTCAATATTTTCAGTTCTAAACCAGGACAAATGGTCTATTATCTTATAACAAAAAAGTCATCTTGCATCTTTTAAAAAGGTTGCTGTAGCTATTTGAAATTCGGCTAGATAAAAATTATTGCATGAATGCCCCCATTTCTGCCATAGGTTGTGCAATACGTATGTTTGCTTCCCAAGTAAACGAAAGTGAATTAATATGTTAGCCTTTTTCTGATCAATTCAGCAACAATTCAGCAGTACCAAATTTGTTTGAGTATTAGATACAGCTCTTCCGAATGGAAGGTTTAAGATTAATTCACATTGTCTTACCTCTGTTCTGAATTTCTGGGCCACTAATTCTAGCACAACATCGAGAATCTGAAAAAGAAAACAAAGTAACAGAGTAAATGATTTTGGCTGATGCATTTATGCAGCACATCAACTATTTCTCAGAAATGAACAGAATGAAGGCCAGAAAAAATGGAACAGTTTACCATTTTCATTATCTTGTCATTTAGGTAGCTTTCTCCTCGTAACATCAATAAATCTGTGTCATACACTGCTGTTCCGTTTATATAAGAGTACAGAAGCCTGGCTGGCTTATGAGACAAGATATGCTGCAAAACTTAAAAAAGACACGATCTCCATAAGACTTTATAAAATGTGATGTTATGTTTATAAAAAACCAATAGATTTGTCTTCCAGTAGATTTCCAAAAGGTTGATTTGGTTACGCCATTTGCCAGATCATGGTTTTGTTCTAATACTATCAAAAGCTCTTAACAAAATTATCGCATTTTTTTCTTGCACCAATACACAAAATATATTTGAATAAAATTTCCACAAAAATAAAAGATTAAATGCCGAAATACCATTAAATCAATCCCGTATCACCAGCTAGAAAAAACAGATGGAACAAGAATTTATTTACCGTTTTCTGGACGATTGTCTGATATGCATTCTATGTCAAGTAATGTGGTAACATCACATGAACCAGACATTCTGGGGAGTTTCGATGGGCAGCTGAAAGCATAAGAAAGACTGAATACAACCAACATTTTTCAGGTTACATTGTTTATATGAATACATGAATACAACGTTTTCAGGGTGAGGAGAAGAGAAAGTTTTCTCCAAATTCTGCAACAAAATTATGAAATACCGGTATCAGTAGCTTTTCTCTTTCCTTCACTACCATGTCGTCTCTCATTTGCTTCAGAATTGAAATCTAAATTCAAATGAATATTGAATATGATCAAAATCCCACCAAGTATGTAAACTAGCAATAGAACAACTAACAAATAAAAGAAAAGGCATAAACATTTTAAAAAGAACTTTTTGCTGGCTCTACGCAATTCTTTTTTTTTCACCTAGCTGTTGCATCACTTGAGAAAATATGTTGGTCCAAGTATTCAAACAGACTTTGATATTAGTGCAGCCGCTTAACCTAAAAAAATGGAGGAATTGTGCATTTTATGGTACAAGCATGAAATTTGTTACAAGTACACAATTTGACATGCTGATTAAGATGAGATGCAGACCCCACTTCAAAAATGCCCCAAAATGGTTTTTTTAGACTGGGGTACCTGTACCCAGTCCTTTCTTAGTCTGGGTACAGACTATGGGTATAGTCCTTTTTCAGATCATACGGGGTACATGTTAAAGAGTACGGGGTACAAAAAGCTCAAATCTTTCCAGTTCTTTTATGAGATATATTAAGAGAAATGATGTGGCAAAGGATTCAAATTTTAATTTTGTTTGATGTCTGTATGAAGGCATCAATAAAGTCTACTTTATACAGAGTGCTGGTGGTTCTTGATGGTTCTGGCAATGTTTCCTGTGCCGCCTGTACATGCCCTGCTGGTGCTGGTATATCTGGCCTTGGCAATTGTAATCATGTTGGAGGAGTTCTTTTTGCTTTGGAAGATTTCAAAAGGAAAGACTACAACAATTGTCCTGAACCTGTCTCTTGTACTTTCAAATTAGCAGCCTGGAATGTCCCATCTTAATTTGCTTCAGTTTCTCCTGCATCTATTGATGAAGTTCTTATCAAGAAGATCAGATTTAGCAAAGATGATGTTCAGTTAAAAGCCATAAAGAATATTTGCAATGATCCTCGTAAAATTGCACATGGTAGAATAGATGAAGAAAGGGTTGAAAAGCTGAAATACTCTTTTGTTTCTTCCATTCCAAACAGTTGTTTCTCTGCTTTCCATTCTTTTCCTGATACGTCTTCAGCAAGCAGTTCTTCTATTGTCACAGAAATGGTTGATTCATTGGATTCTCCTTTTCAAGATTCTTTTGTTAATTTATCTGTTTCTGACTCTGACAACAATTCAATGGCATTCGGCGATGATGATATATCCTGTTCCAATTTTAAAAATAGGACTACCATACCAACAATAATATGTATCTTCCATCAACAGCTATTCTTGACATTGAAAAAGAAACCTGTGGTCAGTCATCAAATTCTTCTTGGAATCAACACAGATTATATCGCATCACTGCATCACATTTTTACTCTGCTGCTGTCACTACTGTTGAACCATCGTCTAAGTTAAATTCAATGTTCTACTCATCTTTCTCTTCTGTAAGCACACGGCATGGAAAGGCTTATGAGTCTCATGTTCGTTCTTTATATTTGGAGACTTTGCTACGCAATGGCTTCAATAGAGTTTTTGTTGACGAGCCTAGCCTTGTTGTATCAAGTCCTCATTCTTTTCTTGGTGCATCCCTGAATGGTATCGTAAAGCATGGTCAAGACTCTTGGGGACTTGAAATCAAATGTCCTTATTCAAAATTTTCATTATCTCTCCATGACGCTGTTGCAGATAAGAAGTTTTTTTAAGAAAGACAGATGTGGTAGAGCTAAAAAAGAATCATGCCTATTACTACCAAATTTAAGGTCAAATGTTTTGCTCTGGATTAAGAAAAGTTGATCTGGTGGTCTGGTTTGGAGATAACCAACCCTTGTTCATTCAATCAATTATGTATGATGAACATTTTGTTTAAAACTCCATTCTTCCTCAGCTGAACTTCTTCTATCGCAGACCTGTATTACCAGAATTCTTTACAAAGCATGTAAAAAGAGGTCTCAAATTATACCTTCATGGTGGCTGGGAGAAGTTTTCCTTAGAATTATAAATTGTTCAAATATTGTGAATCTTAAATAATGAATGACTCGGTATAGAATGTTTAGCATCTACAGTTTAAATACCACTGTAAGGATCATTAGTATTGTCATTTGGCAAATCCCACTATGTCTATCAATGCAATCTTTTGAAATTCCAATACCATCCATAGATATCTACAATATAATGGATAAGCAAACACACAAACAAACTCAACATTAAGGATAACCCCACAAATTGAATTATGTCATAAATTAAACATAATAGATTATGTTTGAAGAGGAAGAAAACCATAAGCTACCACATTATTATTTCTATGTACTTCTCCTTTATCTTTTTATCTATGTATTTTACAATATAAATAAAATATGAAAAAGTTATCGTGTAAGCAACAGTGTCACCATTAAAGAATTATTTTTTACAATCTTTTGTGTAAAAAATATGGAAGAGTTATTGTGTAAGCAACAGTGTTACCATTAAAGAATTATTTTTACAGTCTTTTGTGTAATGCAAATATGGAAGAGCAACAGTTTTACAATTAAAGAACTATTATTTACATTATTGAATGTAAATTAAATATGAAAAGTTTTTGTGCAAGCAGCGGTGCTATATTTATTAACCATATTTTCACTTACAATGTAATACAGATTTTGAGAAATTAACATAAAAAGAAGGGTTTGTCTATAGGTTATGCTTTATTTAAGACTTTTTATTTGTATAGTGGGACTGAATTAGATGAATTAATTTATTTACTAAATGTGGCAGTCTTAACTAAAAATTGGATTCTCGTCGTTGTATTGCTTTGTTCCTGTATTCCTTTCTTTTAACTAAAAATGGCAGGAAATTTGTTAACATATAACAAACATTTAAAAATTTGATTAGCTAAAGGACTTAAGGATAAAGGAATACAGCCATCAAGAATAAAGCAATTCTTAATCCTTCCAATGGCTCTTTCGACATGAATACGGACTGCAGCTATGTTGGCAGTTTCTTCAGTTTCTTTTGGTGTTAGTTGGGCACGACTCCCTTTAAACGGAGGAATGTTGAGAATGACACCAACTGGTAGGATCGCAGCAATATCAAAACCACGATCTGCCATTACGTTGTCACCAGGTTCAAGGAGAGAGATGAGACCAGATTTAATTGTTATTTCTTTATCAGATACATGGCCTGACCACAGTTTTGATACAAATGTGATTGCCACAGTAGGAGATATTCCAACAAGGGCTTCCCAGGTGTTGTGATGTTTATACTCTGACCAAGTTTGTAACTGAGCTTTCATAGATGAAGGGACTTCTGTAAAAATTTCTGTGCAATCAATGATTATTCGTGTGGATGGGTACAGTTTAAATTCTTCTGACATTAACTTTTGGATTTGTTCTTGAGATAGGAAGGGAAAGAGAGAAGGCAATTCATAAAACAAGAAGTTGATCCAAGTAGTAAAAATCTTTGAAACATGTCCACTTGAGCTTCCAAATCTATCTGCAAGATCATCTACAAATAAACCAACTTTCAGACGCATTAAAACCCAGACAAATTCTTCAAATAAGATTAACTCTATTTGGGACCAGATTTCTTATGTTCATCTGGCCTGTCCGGCTTGTCTTTAGATACATCATGTGACTTGGATCCCCGCCAATAAGAAATATTATCCAACTTTGGTGCTAAATAATCAAAAACAGATTCAAGAGAAGAGAAATTTGGAAACCCAGTGTAAAATTTGACAGCTCCATCATTATATTTCAACTTATCAATGGAGAAAAGTGACTTTTTTGCAATGGAAAGTTCAGCATTCAATTCTGAAACTTAAAGGGACAGTTCATCAATTTTCTGTTTGAGAGAGACATATTCTCTCACGTCAGTTGAAGATCAAGGAGGTGCAAAACAGTGATCTGTCATAAGATTGGAAAAGGAAGCATCATTCAAGTAAACTGGCGTCTTGACAAAATTAAGTTCGGTCTGAGTTGAACATGTTGAAAATAGAGATGACTCTTTTTCAACAGTATCAGGCAAGGCATTATCTTCTTCTTCATTAAAATCAGGAAAAGAACAGGTATCAGAAGCAGTTGAAGAGGAAAGTTGAGAATAAACAGATGCAGTGTGATCCTTGGGTGCTTTTCGTGTCGTCTGTGTAGTTATTGTCTTGGGATCATCGAACAGCTTCAGTGAAGGAACAGCATCGGCCACTAACTTCCAGCGAAGTGGATTTTGCTTTATATCAGAAGCAGTAAAGTGTTTTTTGCATAAAACAGTGCTTCTAGTAACCATGAAACCATCAGAGCCATCGCGTCTCTTAATCAAATTGCACCAGTGATTTTTCCTTGGATTCTTTTGAGGGAATGAAAAAAAATTTAGCCCCGTCCCCGTACCCTCCTTGTTATATTGAAAATTATAACATCCATTGTCTTCCTAACGATGATTTCTTCTTCGTTTGATCATTAGAATTTGCCTTATATTTTCAGCTATAATGATAACAATAAAACTCAGAATCTAATAATCAGAATCATAAAACTAATAAGCCAACACATAATCACCAGGTAACAGGTTTTTCTATAAGACACAGTTTCTGTAATATATTTGTCACTAGCATGACCTCTCCAAGCCTTTGAAATGAATGAAATACAGCCCTGTGGGCAAATTCCAATTTAAACTTTGCAGAACTGTGATGCTTGTAGTTGGACCATGTTTGAGCTCTTGTCTTCAAATTGTTTGGCCGATTTATAAAAACACAGAAACAATCAATAATGATTACTACTTTAGTTCCAAATATATTCCTAAATGACAAAGGTGTGGTCCCCAGTAGTTGCTCTCTTTCTGGCCATTGAATCACTTTGCCTAACCGGTTAAACAAAATATCAAGCCGTTTATGGAATATATTTGAGACTGATGGTACTGACATTCCTAATCTATATGCAATGTCTTTGACATTTAAGTTCAGACAGAGTCTACACAGAGCCAGGGTTAGTTCTTGAAATGTTGTTAAAGAACTGTTGTTATTCCTAGATACAATTTGCAGGCAAAAATCATGCAGAACTCTCAGCACTTCAATATTTGGCAGTCTTGTATAATAATGAACTTTCTCTGAGGAATCAAAGAATTGATCTGTTTCAAAAGCCAGACCTTTGGATTCCTGGTGGATGAGAATCTCTACTTGTAGCTCGGCAGTCTTTTCTAAGGGCTTCATAATCAGCAGAAGAGACCTCAATTTGTGTTCCTGTATGAGCTTTTTCTGCATGAATCACAGTCTCTGATGAATCACAATAACAGAATCACTGTCTTGAGAATCATTTGCTTCACTTTCCTGATTTTGCAGGGTTTCATCAATCTTGCGCTTTTTTGGCAACTGTTGTCGTAAATATTTCTCAGGGCTAGGCGCTTTGAACTTTTCAAGGCCAAGGTTCTTGTTAGGTGCCCAATCAGGATTATCTTTTTCATACAATGCAGATGGCTTTAATAGGACATGAAGATAAACAAATGACTGTGGGGTTTTAAATTTTATATCTCAAGTAAAGAAATGATACATCTGACCTGTACATAGTGGTTGTGAGTAAGACAATTTACCAACAATTTTTAAAGCATCATTCTTTCAGAAACCTTTAAATTGCTGGATAGGGTGCTATTTTATTGCTAGATAGGATGCTATTTAAACCTTTGAATAAGCAAAGACCTTTATTTTCTAGGCATGCTTTGGCTGCATTACGTTTCAACTTCAATCTAAACAGAGAGGTTAAAACAAACGAGGGTGGTACCCCCCAAATTGCTGTACCTTACTAAAGTTCAAGAATGGAGAAGCAACCTCTTCCGTTTCACTGCATACCTCTTCTCAGAACAAAGGTTTTTGTAACGTGTGCGCTTTGGAGTTTTAAATTGGTCAGCCATTATTCGAAGTGTACACTCATTTAAGCAAACTGGACTAAAACCAAGGTATTATATGAAACATTGCGGTGTTGCTCCAAGTTGCTGAACAACCCTAGGGTCATGAAGGGAAATTGGGCAGTTTTCAACCTCTCTACAGCAATGGCATGCTTTTGGGTTTTCCAAATGCTCAAACCTACAATTGCCACATTTGCACCTAAAAAAGATCTCAAAGAGAAGAGCCAAGGTGTTCTGAAAGTTATGTAATTGATTCGAAATATTTTTTCCGTATGAGAGTTTTTTTGGTAAAAGCTATGATATATTCCTAACTGGGCCAAGATTTGAACACCTAAGGCTTTTATAAATCTTTTTCTCTACTTAATCAAAATTTTGAAATTTATAAGATACTAACTGCGTTTTGATCTCCAACTGCCATCTGTCGTATCTAGACCTTCGGGCCGACCTAGGCCTGCGGGCCTATAAGCATTTTTTCTTGCTGGGGGTTGTATAATAATCAAAAGAAAATTTCGTTTATCATGTCACCAGTGGTTCTGTTCCATTTAAGCGTCTGTTCAGCTCTTCAATTTGTTGCTTTTCCTCTCTTCGCTCCCAATTATAATTTTCGATCCACTCATCGTCTGCTAGGGGTTTGTCCATGTATGGGCCAATGTAATCAACTCCACCAACAGCAGCAGTGAGTGCGTTTTCGTTGGCCAGGGTCCTCAACGTTGGGAGAAAACTGTGACGATGTTTCGCTGAGCTGTTGCTCTTCGCATATATCAGACAGACTGTAAATGTCTGACATCTTGCATAAACGTAAAATGAAATTTTGAATGTATTCGAGTGAATTCTGAGTTACGTGCTTTCTCACTCCAACCATAGATCCTATTGTTGTGGTGCAATGGCAAGTTTTATTATGACTCATCTCACGTCATGACTTGTCTAGTTCCAGATCTCTGTCTTAGGACGCTTTTCAGTTAGGGCACTGTTCTAGAAACCCCTGTAATCAAGTCTATTTTACCCGGATCCGAAAAAAATTGCAACCATTCTGATACGTTATTCTAAATAGTAGTTCAAAGTTAGAAAATTCTAAATTTCACATTTGCCTTCTATGACCTTTAATCTTATCTGCTTGGGCAGTTTGCCATTTATTAGTGCCTAAACTATCAGTGCAGGATGCTACGATAGTGCTACCGGTAGAGGTTCCTTCAAAAAGAGGAGATGAGGGTCTTAAAGGGCTAGGATTCTTACTTATGGTTAAATCCTTGGGATAATTACACAATGATACGTGATGTTTACCATTGCACTTCTTACACATAATTTTAGATGTATATTCTACAGCTTTATGCCCTCTCCTAATGAAAATAAAACAACAACAATACTATCTAATAACGTTCTTATTTGTGTCTATGTTTGTAATTTTGGAACAATGTTGTTGGTCGTGGTTTTCTTGACAAAAAGCACATCGTTTCTGGGTGTCAGATCTCCAACTCAGTTCTGCAATGCCGTTGGCAATGCTGTAATTACCGACTTCGTCCAGAAGGTCCTCAACTTAGTCAACAGTACTGCTAAATGCATCCCAAAATTCAGGCCAATCTTGTGGCTTTTCATCAAAAGTTTGCAGCTCCAGTTTGGGTACCTTTGCTTTCGCCTTCCTAGTGGAACTACTCCCAGAGAATGAGGTGCATGCTATAGGGCAGTGTCCTTTTCCACGGCTTCTTCGATTTCTAACAGCACCTCTGATATTTCCATTGAAATTGCCTCAGATTCCTCCACTTCTTGAATGTGTTAGCCCCATCATTCTGGTCACTCAAAATTTCCAATACTCGTTCATCCATTTTCTGCAACACGACTTTCTTGTTTGTCAGGACCACCTTGTATTTCAGAAGCTCTTTTTTATCACCTATCACCTGCCCGAAAATTCCTTACTCTTTCCATAGCTATGGCGATTGTTCTTGTAACATACGCTCTGTGTGCTTCTCTAGCTTTCTGTAGTTTCTTTGATTCTTGCTTTGTTTCCGTGACCATTTAATGCACTACACCTCCATCAGTTTCCCTCGTCATCATTCAATTCCTGTAACCTGGCGGTGCCTCCAATTATGTTGGGACCACTTTTTCTGGCAGTGCCCATATGTTAAAATTTATCGTTGCAAGAAGTGTAAGATGCAAATTCAGAGAAAAATCACCATTCTGTACAAACTGTTTTGTATCAAATCTATAAGGGTTTCATTTTATATACTCGCTCACAATTCTTACTTCAACTCTAACTCCAACCAACTCCTCACTAATTTGGTGTTACAACATACATAATCATGATCACTGTTACTTGTCGATTGACATTAACCATGTGTATATCCTTATTGGGTATGGTGAATCAAAACATGTAAGCTAGTACTGTTTTAAATCAAATATTGAATCAAAATTCAAATTATAATGCTATATGATACCATGTACATCGGATATCATATACCATATATCATATATCATATACCATGTATATGATATATGATACCATGATACCTATTGCACTAATGAAGGTAATAATAATAACTTTGTGGGGTTTTACAAAGATATCAAGGAGGGTCTTGGCCCCAACAACAACTGGCTGCATAGTGCTACAAAGCCAGTTGTTTCTAGCTATACAGATATTCTTGCAGCAGCAAGAAATTAAGGAAAAGTTAACAGCTGCCGTAGAAGATAGAAATCATGCCCTCTGCCGATACAGAGTCATGAGAAATACATTTTTGAGGACAAAAAGCAACAATAGAAAAAGCATGGTTACACAAGTGCGTGGTGGTTAAATGTTTGTAATGGAATTTAAGCGACAGAGAGTGGCATATTAACTTTATAATGTCAAGGAAATTCCTTTCAGACCTGTTGTCAGAAGTTAGGCCACACATTTCACCAAATCCAAAATGATTCAGGCATGATACAGTTACTGCTGAAAGTAAATTAACCATGACGTTGTAACAATGACCAATGATCACTCAGAATAATGATAATGAGTAACATGTATTGTTTCACCCTGTAAACTGTCCGTAATTATTTAACGGGTTTGTCAAACTACTGTGAAAGTGCTTGGGTTTAGATTGACAAAATTTCCAAAATCAGAGACTGAATTAAAGCAACTCGTGAATAGGTTTGAAAAAAAATTCGACTTTCCCAAGTTGTGGGAAGTATTGTAAAAATAATAATGTGGGTTTTCAGTTGGCTGTTTAACCCATATTCCAATGAAACAGCCAACTGAAAATCCACATGACTGTTTTTGCTACAAAATGAACTACTCATTAAATATACAAACTGTATGTGATGAAAATGGGCTGTTTATGGACTTTGATTGTTCACGTCCTTGAAGTGTACATGATGCCAGAGTTTTTGCAAACAGTGCCATAAATAAGCTATTTTGCAAACAGTACCAAAAAATTGCCTAATATAGAGCGCACATTAATTGAAGGTGATGTCGCGTTTCCTCCATTACTGATTGGTGTCCCTGTTTATCCATTACAATGAGAGAGTTTGAAAGATGCAGCGACAAAAACCAAGTTTTATTTAATGAAATGCTAAGGCCAGTTAGAAACCAAATCGAGTGTGCTTTGAAAGCAAGCAAGATGGAGAATATTCAACAGACTTATTGATATTGCATTGGAGCATGCACTAACACTGATTTATATATGTTTCATCCTCCACAATTTCTGTGAGGTTAAAGAAGCACAGTAAACCAAGTCATGGAAGAAAATGAAAACCAGGCCTGTTAACACCATACATCTGCTGAGAGATTAAACACACACAATAGTGAAGAAAGAAGCCGAGTAAGAGAGAGCTTGACAAAATACTTTGTTAATTTTCTCCAACAATAGGCAATCTTGGCTAAATATGAACTATATGTAGAAATAAAAATATTTGTTATGTTGTGTTATTCACAGTCCCAAAAATCTTTGCACCCACATTGAAGAAAATTTTAGGCTGTTCCTCCAAGTCTTCCCATTCTTTAGCATCTGTTGCTTCCTATTTTTTTACAAGACAAGAACACTCTTGCACTCCTGGCCAACCTTTGAAAAGGCAAACCAAGCATTGGTCTGCCATGCCACATTTTAGTTATATTGCATAAAGACAAGCTCTCTTATCAACAATTGTCTTCATTTAAAAGATTCATATATGTGGGTGCTTGGGTATGTGGAGAGCATTGATTAGAAATCAGGATGATGCAGATTAGAAACTGAAGTTGCTGGTGTTGGATATTGATTAGGAACTGCAACTGGAGATGTAGAAAAGGATTGACAACATAATGCTATGGCCTAAAGTAAATCTGGGAAATATCTTTCAATGTATCCTTAGCACCAGGGATTTCGATTCTGACTATATAGGGAAATATAAAGATCAGAAGGCCTATAGCTATTTTGACAGTGGATTTGTTGGGGAGATTTTAATTTATGAGCCTAGCACAATTGTTAAGTTTCTCTACTGTGATGTCAGAGCCTCAATGGCAGAAAAATCAAAAGAATTGTGAATTGCCACCAAAGATGATACAATCATCACTAGCTGGTGCTCTTGCATGGCTGGTAGCAGTGCATGCTGCAATCATGTAATCGCTACACTTTATAAGGTAGAGTATGCCACAAATCATGGATAAAATGACCTGGCATGCACATCCATGCCTTGCAAATGGAACCAGTCAACAAAGAAGGAAATTGTACCTAGAAGAATAACAGAGATCGTGGTAAGAAAAAAAAGCAGAACAAAAGTTAAAGAAAATGAAATTGTACGAGAAGAAAGACGTTTGGAAGCTTTGCAGAAATTTGATCCACGGCGGCCTGCTCATTGCAAGAAAACGGATGAAGATGTATCAAGCCTTCTTCAGGATCTTTGGAGAACAAATCAAAATGCTGTTCTTTTTAAATCAATTGAAGGCACAGAGAATGCAAGTAATGTGACACATGACATGTTAACAATTGCAAGCAAGGTAATAAGTAGGTGTGAAGACAAAACTGATGAGGAAAAACAAAGAGAATTTTACAAAGAGCTCAACATCACTGAAAATGAAAAAAGGAGGATTGAAATATCTACTCGTGGTCAAGCTGATTCTAAAGCATGGGTAAATGCAAGAAAGGGACGGATTACAGCTTCTGTCCATCACGAGGTCTTTACCAAAGTGAATTCTATTGCAAGAAGAAGGGTTCCCCTTTGCCAAAAGTGACACCCTTAATTGCAAAGCTCATTTACAGAGATAAGACACTTAACTCTATTCTGGCAAACCAGTGGGGACAAGAGCAAGAGCAAAATGCACTGAAGTTGTTTTATTCTGTCGAGGCATGCAAACATCAGGATTTTAAACTTCAAAGCTGTGGATTGTATGTTGATAGAACTCATCCATATATTGGTGCATCCCCAGATGGAATCATGTATTGCAAGTGTCATCAAAAAAGTGTAATAGAAATTAAGTGCCCATACAACATCAAAGATGAAACCATTCAGGCTGGTGTTGCAAAATATAACTTCCTAACAGTTATTGATAATAAAATAACTTTAAAGAAATCTCACAAATATTACACACAGATTATTTCCCAAATCATGCTCAGTGATTCCCTGCAAGGATTTTTTGTTGTCTGGACAAAGAAAGACATTTTCATTGAGACCATTGTGATTGATAAAGTACATTGGAACAAGGTGTACACAAATTTACAAATCTTCTTCCAACAGTATGTTGCAAAAGCTCTGCTTGCAATCAAACCAGTAAAGTTTTGTGCTGATTGTGAAAAAGTTCTTCTAACAAAAGATGAAATACCAGAAGATGAAGCTGATGAAAAATCTATTGGTCGTGATCAGTGTAGCAGTACCACTACAAATGTCAATCAATTATACACATTGACAAAGAAATTAACTGGCTATGTTGTAACTGTTTAACTGACATTGCTCAAAATATTTAAGCATGATGTCTTGTTTTGGGGCCCTGCAAATAAAATGTCACAGGAGGGGAGGTGAGGGGATGGGTACATCAAATCTGTTTTGTCTGCAGAATGCTATTTTATAGCAGTACTACTATTTGTACTACCCTCAAGCTTATCCCCACCACAACAAAAATTTTGATCTTCGTATTTGCTGCTAATTTTACTGATTTTTGAAAACTAGAGTTTGTTGCATAAAATGGGAGTCATTTTTTTTTGTGACACTCATATTAAGGGGAAATGGGTTATAATATATCCAAAATCTTTTGTGACATCATTTTTAATTTGCCACAATTGACTAATTTAGATTTTATTCACAAAGTGGCTTTAAAAGATTAACAAATGCACAGCAACATATAATATAGTCATTAAATAATGGAAGTTCTGTCAGTGGCAAACATACATTCAGAATATTGAAGTCTTTGATCCTTTTTATGGCCTGTTCAACATATATTCTTACATTTGCAATACGTTTTGTTTCTTTGATATCCTGTTCTGTCATTTGATTTCCTTTGGCAGCTGTAGGTGGAATGGCAAGAGTGCAACGTTTCATCAGTAAAAGTTCCTTTATTTTGAAACCCCTATCTGCCATAACACAATCAAAGGGCTCCAGTAAGTCCAAAAACCTACTATCATTGACAATATATTTGTCTGATGCTCTTCCACCATATGCAGGGGAAATCCACGAAATTGCCCCATTTGGTGTTATGCATACCAAAACTTTGAATGCTGTATGATGCTTGTACTCACTCCAAAGCAGTGCTTTCACCTCTAATGAACTTGGTGTTTCAACAAAAATCTCGGTACAATCAATGATTCCTCGAGTTTTTGGATACAATCTTTTAAAAGAATCTGGCATAGTTGCATGAATTTGACCTTTAGAAGGCCAAATAATCAGGCAGCTTAATTCTTTGGACAAAAACTTTATCCATGTTGCTATGATCTGAGTCACTCTTGAAGAGGAAACACAGAATCTCCAGGCCAGATCTTCGTGAAATAGGCCTAGTCACAAGCGAACCATTGTCATTAGAAACTCCTGTTCTAATGATAACTTCCTTGCTGGACCTTTCCTATTGATTGGTGGAATTATTTTTGGCAAATTCGATCCCAATAAGACTGTGTCAATGCGATGCTTATATCCTGTTGTTGGTGTATCAATGTTTGAGTTCTTTGGTCCCTCCCAGTACAGCATAATATGTGCTTTTGGGGCCAAATGGTCGAAGATCACTTTGAAGGTTTCACAGGAAAGAAATCCTGTATAAAATCTGACATCAGCTTCTCTTGTTAAAAGTTCAAATTTCATGGAAACATGCACAGTAGGGGTAGAAGAATCATTGTCATCTTCAGCAACATTCTTTTTAACCATTGACTGCTTATCAGTATCAGTTGCAGCACATCTTTTCCTTGGACTCTTTCTTTTCACAGATGCAGGTTGATCTTGACTGTTGGCTTTTCTCATATCTGCAAGTGTCATGTACAACGTTGGAAAGGGGTTGCGAGTTGTTGGTTTTCCATCTATAAAATGGTTGGAGCAGACGGTTGTTTCATGGCCAGGACAAAAGTTTGCTCTTCCTCTTTCAACACATTTTATCCACACTTTTCGTTTCAATTCATTTGCAGGAAAACGATGCCATTGCAAAAGTGAAACATGACTAAAAATTATGTTCCTGTCAGGGTACCTCCTATCATTATCACAAGGGCCAACACAGCACCTGTCATTTCCCATAATCTTCAGAATTGTTTGATGAATAATTTTAAACTACAAGGAAGATTAAAATAGAAAAAATATCTGTCTTATTATACAGTGACGGATCACACAAATAATCCAAAATTCTAGTATGTTTAAGGCAAATAACGCCAGATATTAAAACTCGAAGCTCCATAAGTACATCAAATTCGGACATCACCTTATGGCCTAGGCCTAAGACACGAATATTTTTATCCCTGATATATAACACTAAAACTTGCAAAACAAAGGTAATTCTTACAAGTAACAACACAGAAATCCTTAAAAAAACGAATTTCTGATTATTTTTAGGAAAGATATTTAATATCGTCTCACAGAAGACTTACCTTTGCGTAAGAATAGACAGCGTGCGACTTCCGCCATTGACTTTTGAAAGCAAACTGAAAGGGTCAAAGTCCAACTTGCCACCTGGTCAAAATGGACGCGTTTACCCGGAAAGGGTCTATATAAAGCACCAAAAGCATAAAATTGTAGCAGTAGAGGTAGCAGAATCACCAAATTGATTTGCCTTTGATTTTTTGGAAAAATATATTTTTAAGTCTTTTAACTTAATGAATGACTGGAATTGTTCAGTCAAAACAGTTTATGATACTTTATGACAGAAGAAACCTACACTGTAAGTACAAAAAAGGAATAACACTTTTGGCTGGAGAGACCCTTTAATTGTCAGGTCACCTGAATGTAAGCTATTTAAAATAGTGGTCCCTTTGTTGCATGCAAAAGACCAAAAACAGGTGAAATTTCTGGTCCCATGGTAAACTCTAAGGGCCAAATGGATCCGTACCCAAAGTGGTACGGATAGGCTTTGCGTTTACACGGGACCTGGCGGATCCGATGCAATTTGGATCTGCTATCCATACCCGTTTGGGATCGCTTTTGAAGGTGGTCCCGTTTGGATCCGGTCGCAAAAAGGTCTCGTGTAAACGATATGGGATCGGATCCAAACAGGTACCGATCCAAAATGAGGCAAAAATTGTCCATTACGAGGTGCATCCTATATGGTATCCTTGTAATTGGCGCCAAAAGACAACCATTTCATTATTTTGAATCGTTCAACCCCAAAGATCAAACCCATTAATCAAATGGACCTTGAAATGCCAAAAGCATTGGCAACTTTGCGATATCAACCTTCATCAGATAGGTAGTACAATGTAATCGCAACTTGCATCTCCAACGATAGTGGTTTCCTCATGTTGGTTACTTGTCTGGTCAACCAGGGCCTAACCTCTTCACAGAGGGCATAAAAACTGTTTTGAGACATTCTAAAATTTTCTGTCCACTCTTCTGCAGTGAATAATTTTTTTCAAAGCTTTGCGACCAGGCATTGGCTCTACCAGGGCGTTTCCAAAATCTTCTAGCTTTCCTTTCAACTTTATTGCTGGCTAGTAGGCCAATTTGATTCCTCGCCCATGCAACACTGAAATCTGGCTCCATTCCGAGAATCGCTGTCAATAATACCTTCTGACTCCGTTGATGCTCAATTTGAATAATGTGAACAATTTCTTTGCGGTACAGAATTTGAAAATGGCTTTGAAAAAAGCAAACATTTTACAACATACTTAAAGCTTTTTCGTCTGACACTCCTCAGAGCATAAAACGTCAGAATAGGTTCCGAAAAAACATGTTAGAAAAATATATACCCAGTTGTGGATCGAAATAGGCCAATCAGAAAAACGCAAGCACAAGACCGGTATAGTTGACCAATCAGTGACAAAAGGAGTTCGTTTTCTCTATTGGACTCCATTGGTAATTTTTCTTTAGGCTCGCGGCACTGATTGGTGAGTTTGACAAATTCTGAGCCAAGGAAATAACCACTGGATAGCTGTGACAAACATCAGTTTCAGCAACATGTCATCAATTCGCATTTTTGACGGTCTTGGTGGTAGAAGATTTGACCATCAAGTACACATCAGTACTTCATTCCAGCAGTCCGGAAATGTTTATTTAAATAGAAGATGTCCAGAATCAGCAGGACTGACATAATTGCGGTCTTTTTGCCTTTGCTTTTAATTTGCTGTTTCAATTTGTCATAGAGAGGATCCAAAGAAATTAATTTTCACCCAGCCAGATATGCGTAGACATCTATTTCAATGCTTGATAAACAATGCTATAACTCTCTTCCCACGTGAAAAGGACGAAAGAAAGCCAACTTCAGGCAGCCTTATTTGTGTTAGCTTACACTCTGCTTGCCGTTTACCATTGCTCTGCTTGCTGTGATTAGTTAAGGAGAATAAATTGATCCTAGTGGACATATTTTTAAGAGTAGTGAATTCTCATCCTCACGAATGAGGAGGAATACTTTATCAAGGTCACTGCAGGGTGTACATAAACTCTCTTTGAGCAATATACTTAAAAGCTCATTTCCAACACCTGCTGTTTGCTTGATATCACTAAAAAAGAAATGAATTTTCTTTTAACTTATTTGAACGGATGGAACACAGGGTCCAGTATATATTGTTATGGGCATACTTTTGTTAGAGTCATAGGCTTTGAACATTAAAAATACTTCCTTTTCTAGTTCTCCACTTTCATCTGCTGGAGTTGCAATTTTTTCACACTTGTGCTTTTGGAATGTTTTCTTTAAAAGACAGCCTGCTACATATGCCATTGCATTGTCTTTGAATATTCTTTTATGAATGTGCTCACTGGAATAATCAGATGTCACTCTCTTCAGTGGTCCAACTTCAACTGGAGCCATTTTAGGCAGGTTTTGAATGTCTGTTAACTGTGTCAATAGCACATTTTCATCAATTTCACAGTTTGTTGAGGAAACGCTGGGCAGGTTGGTATGAAACAATTTCCTATATGCTCTCTTAAACTGGACTGGTGTCCGGTTATCAAAATTCCCTCCCTGTTGACTAATGGAACCACAGAAATTCTCCAAAGGGTCCTGATTCAGCTGCCTTGTTACAAAGAACGTTGAATCAAAATCTCTGTTTATTCTACTCCAAAGCTCAGGAATTGCTTGCAGAGTTATACAGCAACCCCTTCAGACATTTAAGATAATTTGTACGGTTTTCACCAGTAGCAGCATGAATTACTTTGACCGATGCAATAAAATTAGCCCCTTTCTTCATTTGTTCTAGATGTGGGGATGAAGATGTCAATGGCCTGCGGCATATTTTAGTATCCTTAAATGATAAAGAGTTCCATAAATCAAAAATTTGGTCAAAACGGGATGAGAGCTCTGCAGTACCAACGGCTCAAGACGGCAATCCATTCAATGCAACATAAGTGTTGATTCCTGCTGCAACTGAGTGGCCAATTTGACTTGCATTTTTGCAAACTGGGTTGGATTGATGTGCTTAACTGTTAACTTTGAAGCAGTTCTAATTGCTAGTATTTGCTCTTTATCAAAGAAAGCACTGACATCTTTCCATGAAGCTGTTTTCACCTCAAGCTGGAAGTTGTAATGCAAAATATTGTTTCTAATGGACTTCAATAGATGAGGTGGGTCAAAGATGGGAAAATATTTTATACCATGCATTTCAAAAAATGGCATATAAACAGAAACTCCCAGTGATTCGTATAATCACAAAAAGTTGGACTCTAACTGCAGAATGTTCTCTTTCACAATATCATTTAAAAAATCACTGTTGCAAGATTCATTTACTAAATAATAAGATACTGGTTGTTTCCAGCTTTCAACAATACCACGAGCCATAAAAACCAAAGCAGTGTTGGCAGCAAGATTTGACTTCTTACCTTAACCAAAATCTTCAAAACCAATAATGGGTTCACGTTTATAAAACAAATTTGACTTCAAGAACATTTCATCCATTAACAGTGTACAAACCTGTGCACTGTCAGTTACTGCATCTACACATTGTTTTAAAGCAAAGATTAACTTTTCAGAAAATCCAACATTTGATGCAAACCTAGAGACCTTGCTTGTCACACCAGATTTCGATGTAAAATTCAGCAATTTTTCAAAAAAAACCTGTAAGCCGTACTGCTGATGTGATATACAAATAGAGCCTGAGCTTTGAAAGAATCATCATACCTTCTACCTTGTTTCTTTTTCAAAAGAAAAGATACTTGTTTCTTGATAAATGCAAAAAAATCAGGCGAAATCGCACCTTCTAAAAGTTTAAATGCTTTGTTGGCTTTAGCTAGTTCTGTAATTTTTTGGGGAAGAAATTGAGAAGGAGGATAATGATGTTATTTGATAGCACTTCCTCCTCGATAATTTGGGAAGCTTTTGCTTGTGGGGAGTATTTTTGGAAAGAAAATGTGTGGTCTGGCATGATTTTTCCTTAGTTGGTGTGTTGTTCTCTTCAATAAATCCAGTATTATCTACCGGATTTTCATTAAGAGCATCAGCTTCCACTGCATAAACTGTAAAAAGGAAACAATTATGAAATCTCTTGATTGCATTTTTTATGAGTGGAGAAGAATAGCAATGTAGTTATATTGTATAAATATCTTCTAAAATCAGATGTAATTGATTTTTTTTAATTTTTCGTCTTTAGTTTTACGTAAACAGCCCTTGCTTACCAGCTTTGGCTCCATTGTCTTTTTTCATTTTCCATATCCAGGTGTCTCCTTTTACTTGCTGGACCTGTTAATGAAAATTCACTTAGTGTTCAAACTGGAACTTTTTTGAAACTAAACTACATGTCTATAATTACATCATATCATTATTACAGGGTATTTGCCTTGAATGTCAAAAATGGAAGCCATTAAAAGAGAAAGTACTACAATGTTATTTATTACACACTTTGCTGACAGTGTAGGGGCAGGGGACTAACCGGCCCTGTATTATGTTGTTAAGTTTGGCAAATTAAAAGAAACACTTCATTTTTAAACTCTTTAATTTGTATGAATAAAAAGTTTCAAAATGAGAAGATATGTTCCAGGTATGGCTTAGTTATTTAAAGTAAGAAGAATTGAATAGGATGTGTCTACAAACAATCCCAGCATTTAGGGTCTTTACTCTTGCTGGTGATGAGAGGTGGAGGATTGGGGATGTCAAAAGTTTTTGGTTTGGTGTTGCATGGCAATCTCACATATTGGTTGGAAAATTTCAGAAGTTTTTGCGGCTCGAAATTCATTGAGCAAATTAAGTAGGTTTTACTCAGATACTCAGAAGTCTTTCCCATCAAATCAGCCCTACGACAATTATGGAGCCATTCTCTCCAGCTAGGAGCATTTGAAGAACAGATTTCAATCAAAATGCTATTCATTTATCCTAAGACAACAGGTTTAGTGAATTGAAGAGATGCATTCTGGTATATTTCAGAATAATACCATAAAAACAAAACGAAGCACTAGCATTGTGGCCTAAAATTCTGAAGCAACTTACAGTTCTGGATTTGACCAAAACTAGAAAACGATAACTCAAGATTTTTTGCATTGTTTTTGCTACAGTTTATGGCTGCACAATGGTAACTGTTCTTCCACTTCTTGGTTTTATTTTCTGTCATTCTGTAGATTTCTTTAGCTATCAATAAAATGCTCTGGTAGTAACCATCAACACAGAAAAATATTTTCTAGCTCATTTAAACTCGTTCTGAACTTTAAGGCTCGTCCATATGCATGACCATAAAAATGTATGGACAAGAGTATGGACAGCTTTTAACAAATATACTTAATTTGATATACCAGTTTTTACAAACATACTTTTTTTAGACTATGAATTCATTTCATTTTGCTAAAGGAAACCTGTCTGATGTTTTGAGGAAAAGCAATACATTGAGTGAATTGTTGTGAATAAAGAGGTTTTGATTCAAGAGGTATGACCAAACTATATATTTTAAACTGTTTAGAATAACATTCTTGTAATAGTCATCACAAAGAGAAGATAATAAATTTATTTATTCCTATAAATATCTTCATAATATTGAAACATTTACAGAGACATTCCATGTCTAAACAGCACAGCCATGTAACCCACCATCTCAGATTTTGTTCAGTTCAAGGTATCAATGAAATGTAGAAAAATCCAGAATTTCAGCTCAATATCCTGATTGGTTTGAAAACTAGAGCATTTTGAATCCGCATCTTTATAGGCATAAAATTTTCAGCGACATCCTTTTTTAACTTTCCCAGTTTATGTTTGAAAAGACTTAACAGGCAGGTTCGTGTTAGGCCAGGTGGGTGTAGGAAGTTGTCTTTACAATACTGTTCCTCATCATTTATCTCTAGTATCATTCCAATCCTCCATAACTTGTATTACTTGCATGCCACAGTTTCTTGTCTGGTTGGTATGCATACCTTGATTAATGCTTGGCCAGCAAATGTAAACTCGCCAGCAAACTCCTCATCTTCTGTTCGTTTAAAACTTACCGTGCTTGTTTTCATTGGACAAAAGAAATGAAAACTTCTTGTACCTGGAATAGTCTTACCAGTAGCAAACCTCACCTGTAGGTCTTTACAAACCACAATCACCTGCTCCTTTGTTATCAACTGAAATGTAATATCTCTAATTGCATCTTTGCAGAAAGTCAGCATATCAAAAACAGTTAAAATTTGATTTGATACTAACCCTTGCAAGCTAGCATTTGCAGTAAAGCATTTTAGGGTGCCACCAATCCCATCACACACATTTTTCATGGCTAGTGGTAAAAAAGCTCCGTCTTGCTTGTAGCTTGAAATCATCTTCATGGTGACATAAATTCAGCATGTTTTCAAAGTTCTTATAGTGCCATCTGAAAAATACTCAACTTTTTGTATCCAAGGCATCTTCTCTTTGATGCGATTACATATTTCATGTTGAATTACAAACACAACATTTTTATCATGCTAAACTTTGTAAAGTAATTTGAGAAAAAGACTGATGTAAAAGTTCCTTTTCCATTTTGTAATATACACTCCCCTCACAAAAGTATTGCACAGAGTAACTGTTTAGATCTGACTCATTTTCAGTAAAAATATGCAAACATTTCAAATGTGCCAAAACTTATGAATCTGAGGGTCCAAAAGCTCTACAAAATAAGCTACAGAATATGGCTTTTGCCCTCATGTTTCACTACATGTTTGTTCCAAATATCAGTATAAGTAGCAGTTGCTCTCAAACATTTCCAGTCAGTTTATTTGTTTGAGTGTATTTAACTTTTGCTAATTTTTAACCAGTAAATTTTAAACTTAACCCTTTCCATACTGAAGTCCACTTTTTTATACAAGTTTTGGTAGAACACAAGTGGACTTCAAATACCGAAAGGGTAAGGCTCTTTTGATAAAAGCAAATACTTTCTTTTGCAAAGAAGAGAGAGATCTGGAGTGTTTCACCAAAAATCAGTCACACTTTCCACGTTTATGCCCCTTTGTTGGTTTCCCACATTTTTTGCAGCAGCGGTTGGTCTTCCTTTTTCTTGTGCTTTCAGCCAATACAGCTGGTTTCATTAGGCTTAATTGCAAGGATTCTTGTTCATTTTCTGTGCAAAAAATTAAACCGACAATATAACCACAAAGGCAAAATAAAAGTGTACCACAACCAAAACCTGTATTTTGATTGCAAGATTAGCTGCTGCTGTGCAAATGTACATTCTATATAAATATACACAAATTATGATTTCAGTGATTATGATGGGAAAGGGTATTGACCCAAAGATCCCAGATTGAATCTGGTCAATCTATTCTTACAAATATGAACAATAAGAATTTGCAAATACCCCATTTTCTATGAGACCTTGAACCAATGATTTCTAAATGGTCCCTTTCATAAGAAATTTATATATATCTTGATGGAAAACTAGGCTTTCTGTTTAACAAGTGGTTTTCCCTTGCTGTATGATCCAGTATCCCAGTGTAATTACATACTGTATTTCATCAACAGACAACAGTATGTGAAGTTTTTGTCCAAATAACACAAGAAATATTTTACCTGTAGGGTACATTGGTGTAGTAGTGCTCTGCTTTAAAATATATTCAGAGATGGCATCATTTTTTGACGTCTGTTTGGGAACTGAGCAGTTAAAGGCTCTGGCACTTTCCGTGTGTACTTGTCCAGGACACTCCCAAGCTCCTCCAAGGGCGTGCTGAACAAAATATTTCTTATATTGTCCACATATGCTGCAATATGAGGAAAAATTTATACAATTTCATGGTCTGTAGATACTCTGCAGTATCTCGATTGTGTCTCCTCCACCAAACTTGAGTAGTTCCGACGGTATCTTGTCGAAACCAGCAGCTTTACCATTCTTCAAAGATCTCACAGCTTCTTCGATCTCACTCTTTAGGATATCAGGCTCACATTCTTCTTGACCTGGGCCTTCTCGCTCCAGCACAGTCGCAATGTCATCACTCGTTGCGATCGGGTAGCTGTAGAGTTCTTGGATGTATTCTGTCCATCTCTTTTCGATTTTTGTTGCCTCAGTTAGCAACTCCCCATTAGCATCTTCTATCACTGAGATTCTTGCAGTCTTCTCGTTGGTTAGTTCCTTGACTACTCTGTAAGCAGTCCTAGAATCATTTCTTTCGAATGCTGTTGTGACTTCTACACTTCTCTACACTTCTACATTCCTCTTTCGCCTTCTTAATTTCTCTCCTCACTAAATTGTTGGCAGCTCTGTATTTTTTGTTACATTCCTCGTCTTTGAATTTGTCTGCTTTTAGTCTTCTTCTTTCATCACATTTCTCCATTATTTCATTTGTCATCCAAGGTTGTTTCTTCTTCTTTTCCTTTCCAAGTGTTTCCATCGCAACTTCATTCATTCCTTCAGTGAACAAGTCTGTAATCTGTTGCATTTCAGTCATTTCCAATAGTGGTGCAAATTTTCCACCTATTTTAATTCTGAAGTTTTCTAATGTCTCTGCATCGCTCAGTCGACTTGTGTCATATTTCACTCTGGAAGATGGTGGTCTTCGTATCTTTTTTAATTTCAACTTCATTGTTGTCATTACAAGAGTATGATCACTGCCTATGTCGGCTCCTGGGAAGGATCTTGTCTTGTGACCATTAACGCTGCTGGAGCATTGTCTCTCAACCAGGATGTAGTCGATCTGGCTTTTAGTGATGCCGTCTGGAGCAACCCATGTCACTCTTCTTGATTTCTTGTGCTTGTACTTTGTGTTGACAATGACCATGTTATGTAGCTTAGCAAACTCCAGCAACCGTAGACCTCTCTCGTTAGTGCTTCCGAGTCCAAACTTACCAGCTGTTCCTGGCCATTCTTCATGAGCATCTGGTCCCACTCTAGCATTCCAATCACCCATCACTATGAGGATGTCCTTCTTCGGGATGTTTCTCATTGTCGCCTCTATTTGGTTGTAGAAAATCTCGAGATCTTCTTCGTTGCTATCTGAGGTTGGAGCATACACTTGAATGATAGACAGGTTTCTCGGCGCTGTCTGTAGCCTGATCCGTATGATTCTGCTTGATATCGGTTCGCATTCCATCACCATGTTCACAGTCTCTTTATGTACGATGAAGCCTACTCCTGCTTGTTTCTTCAATTTGTCGCCACTCCACCATACTTTGTGCCCGTCGTCAGAGACTGTTTCACCATTATTTAGCCATCTCATTTCCGCAATGCCCAGCACGTTCCATTTGTAATTTTCCATTTCATGTTCCAGCTCGTTCAGCTTTCCAGGTGCCGATAGTGTTCTCACATTCCACGTACCAATGGTGACTTCTTGCTTCGCAATGTTAAGGTTCCCGCCAGTAACATACTTTCTGCCTGATGCGCCCTGGTGAGAACCGACGCCAGACGCGGCCGTTGTTGACCCGGGCCCCGACCGATCCGGTATGGTATTAGAATTTGGTGTACTCATCATTGTGTTACGGTGGAGATAATCCGGTGGTTTCCATCCCCTCTCCGGATATGGATGGCCGTTGGCTCCGTGGAGCTCATCCGCCCTTTGTCAGGTCTTGTTTTTTGTCCTGCGGGGTGTCCACACACCCACCTCACAAGATCACCAGAGTGACCAAGTGGGGGAGCCGGTTTAGTCGCTGACGACCCGACCATGGAACAGGTTGTACTGGTTTACATGTTACCAGAAGCAGGCGAACCTGAATTGCATAAAATTTGTAATCTGGTATGGAAAAGCGGAAAATGGCCAACACAATGGACCAAATCACTAATTCTGCCACTTCTTAAGAAGGGGGATCTGAAGAAATGTACCAACTATAGAACGATTAGTCTCATCAGCCATCCAAGTAAAGTCTTACTGAAGATAATCAATAACCGGTTGAAGACAAAGGCTGAGGAGATACTGGCTGAGGAGCAAGCTGGGTTCAGGAGTGGGCGGAGCACTGTGGAACAGATTGTAAGCGTGAGAATCCTTGGAGAAAAATACGGTGACCACCAGATGGAGATGCACCACAACTTCATCGACTTTAAAAAAGCATTCGATAGAGTGTGGAGGAAAGCACTTTGGCTAGTGATGAAGAAGCACAATGTCGGTGCTGGACTGGTCAATGTGATAGAATCACTGTACAATGACAATAGTAACGCTGTGCTGACAGGTAGTAATGGTACCATGGAGTGGTTTCAGACGACAGTCGGTGTGCGTCAAGGGTGCATTCTGTCCCCGTGCTTGTTCAATATCTTTCTGGAACAAATTATGACAGATGCGCTTGACAACTACTCGGGAACAGAAAGGGTCTCTGGAAGACAGATAACAAATCTGCGGTTTGCAGACGACATTGACCTCATTGCTGGTACTAAGGAGGAGCTGGAAGAGCTCACCAAAAGACTGGACACAACAGCAAGAAAGTATGGGATGGAAATCAGCGCTGAAAAAAGCAAAACACTGGTGACTTCTAGGATTGCAGCTGAAGTAGCCAATGGCACCATAATCAAGGTTGACGGAACAGAGCTGGAGGAAGTGAAGACTTTCCAGTACCTCGGTTCGACATTGAACGAAGATGTTACTTCAGAGCACGAAATCAAGAAGAGGCTAGCAATTGCTACCAACCAGCTTGCAAAATTGAACAGACTATGGAATTCGAATGGAATTTCTACCGCGATCAAGATAAACTTGTTGAAATCCCTGGTAACATCGATTGCCTTATACGGATGTGAATCATGGACCTACAACAAATGTTTGGAGAAAAGAATCTACGCCTTTGAACTTCGCTGCTTCAGGAGAATGCTTGGGATAACGTGGAAGCAGAAAATCACGAATGTGGAAGTGGAACAAAGAATAAGGCAACTAATTGGCAACTACGAACCACTTCTGGTGACGGCGAGAAGACGCAAATTGCAATGGTTTGGCCACATCACTAGACAGAATGGAACTCTAGCTCATGACATAATGCACGGAGCGGTAGAAAGTAGCAGAGGCAGAGGGCGACCCAGGAACACGTGGCTGAGCGACATCGCCAATTGGACCGGGAAGAGCGTGGTGTCGTGCATGAGGGTAGCAAGGGATCGCGGAAGGTGGAGGAAGACTGTGAACTCATCCAAGTGCCCCAACGGCCAGAGGGCCACGGGAGTGACATGACATGACATGAGATACTCTGGCACACTGTTACATAGTAACTGTTTTATTTTTAATTCTGATGCATAAAGCTAAGTGTGTTTCAGGCTAATTAACAATGGCAGGCAATATTTTTATGCATTATTAGTCTCATAACAATTTTTAACTTGTGGGGTACAAAGCACGTAGTGAAGTTAACTGGATAGACTACTTTTAAGTTAAAGTCCAACACAAAGAAGTGATAGAAAAAAGATATCAGCCTTTATTCATTTAATTTCAAGACAACATTAAACCTCATCAACTAGAATCATTTCATGTCTTTCAAATATTTTGCAAGCAATTGTAACATTGTGAGTTTTGTGACTCTAACAACAGAGCTGACAAAGCCTTTCTCATTGAAGCAGTCTGTAACACAGAATACCTTTGTTTGATGTCAAAAATAGTAGTAAAATAACAATTTTATTGGTTTACTTACCGTATGTAGGGGGTATGGCAACTTCTCTGACAACTTCTTCCCCAAGTTTGAATTTTGGGTAAACAACTGAGTAGCATACTGATCCATCAAATGCTGTCCATGCTTCACGATTGAGATTCTCGTTAAAATGAGAAATAGCCAAAACATGTCTGAAACATAAGATGCATTATGTGTTACGTCTGGTTTAACTATATAAAATACATTTTTCTGTTCTAAATGACTGTTTGGCTTGCTATGTCAAGACATCTTGTTTGGATATTTAAATACTTCTCCCATTTTCAATCTTTAGAACTAACCAAACAAGACTATATTGATGCAACACGCCACACAACCACATAAAAAATTACATCACACAATTGTCTCATGTGCTGAAATTATAACATCCGAGATCTCACCTGCAGTATGTACCAAGCCAAGAAAAGTGAACCATTTTTGGGTGCCAGTGATTTAACGTTGAATGAAAGCCTTCCAGGCAGCTTGTCTGGGCATCACATGATAGACTCTGGGCATCTTTTAAAGTGGTTGTGTTGCAAAGAATCTTGAGTAATTTGTCATATGCAGGTGTACCTGACAAAATATCAAAAACCGAAACATTTCAAATGGATTTCCACTAAAAACAAGGAATTGTTGGTTTCATTCCACTAAAGTCTGGATGATGTACTATTCGCCTCCAACAAATTTAAGGCTTGTACCCACAAAACATTTACATTTACATGCCGATTGGAATCCATTCACGTGGTTCAAGTTCAACATGTGCACACTTGTTGTACAACTGATTCGGATGTTCATCATGTTTGTTTGCAATATGACGCATCAAGGATCTCCACTTTGCAACAATCAACTCACCAAAGCCTTGCTTGGTAGAAAGGGCACACCAATAAAGATGCTTACGTATTCCCTTGAGCCATAATTTTAGTACTTCAAAGCCTTTTTCTTTGCTGCCTTTCAAGATTTTCTTTGTGAGACCTTTGCAGACATGCCACAAATCATTGAAATGGGAGGTTTCAGGCTGTGATTCACGAATCCACTTTGCGATTCCTTTGTGCCGATCACTTATGAATGTTGTGATTGTCAAAACAGCATTCTTTATGAACTGAAAGCAACGTTTGGCTCCATCAAGTTCCATTGCGTTACTTGACCCTGATTCATTTGCCTTAAAATTAAAAGGTTTCATTTAGGAGTTGCATGCAAATCACAAATGCCACTGCCATCTTTAATATAGTGGTTACTTCTTTTGTGTTTGGTTGATACATTTTCTCACTCATTCAGTGATATAATCTGTGTGATGCATTGAATCTCTACCAAATATGAGTGCTGTATAAATCCTCTAAAACACTTTAAAATGGCAATAGCAGATTTATCTGTTTTCACATGAAATTGACAATTATACTTACAGTACTTAACTTTTTGGTTTGCTGTGGACAATAGGATTGAAAAAATGCCTTAGACAAACACATGACACAGAAACAATGACTCTGAAAAATTGCTCACCTGAAGCAGTTCAAAATGGACCAGTTTGGAGATGGAATTGGAAAACAATGTGTAGACACCATATTTAGCATTGTGACCCATAGAATCAAACCTTCCATCTCCAGACCATTGTGCATTCTTGACCCCTCTCAATTTTTCAAGCAGTGATGAGCGATAGCTTTCCCAATGATGGAGCACAGATGGGAAGAGGAATTTTTTCTGATGATAAAAAAAGGTCCGTCCAGATATGGCTGACAGCCCCATGTGTCTAAACATCAACAAAGCCTGGCTTATTCTCACACCCGATGTCAAGATGCCAAAACTCAGCATTACATTGCCTGCAGGATATTTTCCAAAGAGTGATGGCTGACTTTTCCACTGGAAATGCATTCTACACTGCCTACATTTCTGCACAACAGTTGCCATTGTTCCAGTGCGATGTACCTCAACAGAAGGATTGTCAGCTTTGCATCGGAAACAGAAAGTTTTGAAAATTGCCAAGAGCATGCCATAGAAAACCACAAACTTGGGCTCTTCAGCAACTCTTGTCTCAGGTCTAACACTAAAAGAGGTTTACTGTATTGTATAACCAGTCCAAAACTGTAAAGCTGCTCTGATAGGGCTATAAAGTGAAAAAAGGAAGCAGCTGTATTTTCAATATACTTTCAATATATACTTTCAATATTTTCAATATTGTGAAACATACTGTATTTTCTATTTTGTTTTGCCTGAAATTGGAGCTGAATGGCTTGTGTTGTTTTGCCTGATGCTGGATCTTTTCAGACAGTGACTTACATTAAGTCAGATATTGAGTGATGAAACTGCAGTACAGTTTCTGTGAAAATTATTTTCAGCCTAATCACAATCAAACATACTGTATTTTCTATTTTGTGACAACTCCTCTTATCTGCAACCCCAGGGGGGGGGGGCACTCCATAACTTTCGATATTCGGGGTCTTTGAATTACAACATTGACACAATTCAATATTTGGGGCAAAAATGTCTTGCATTGACTTCACATGGAAAGCAGTGTGACCCTGAAGTTGCGAATCATGAAATAAGTGTTTTGGTATTTTTTAAAAACTTAGAAAGATCAAGAATCTCAAATTGAGATCATTCAAAAACGTTGTAGTGGTCCCAGAAATAGATAACAATATTGGGGTCACCAAAACATTAGACTTTACATTAGACGCTAAAATTGATTTTCAAAGCAATCAGTTTTTACCATACAAGATTTCTTGAAACAAACTGATTTCCATCATCTTCTGTGTCTGTGGAGTCGGCCGATTCTTCCAAAGTTGCCCAGTCTTCCTCATCTTCATTTTCCAGACTCAAGTCTTGACTGACATGAACTTCATCAAGCCCATTGTCATCCGAACCGCTATCCATTATATAACCTGAAAGGCTACTTGCATTCATGTCTTCAGGCATAACATCCGTGTTTGTAAGCTTGCAAGAAAATTGAGTAATGTCATTTAGTGTGTAATGTTACTTTGGTTTACAATCCTTAAGCAAAAAACCTCCAGGGGTCAGAAGTTGTATGTGGAATGCACAGAAGTAACCAAGAGAAGGGTAACACTGAGTGTACTTTGACCAATGTCAAACAGAAATACAAAACGAGTTCTAAGGGTAAAAAAAGAAATACCTGCTCAATTTTTGCATACAACTCTGCCCACTTCTTCTTCAACTTGCTGACCTTTTTTTACAGATATACTATTTTAGCTTTATAAAACTTGCAGTTCTCACAAGCAATATTGCTTTCGACTTTGCTATCCAATTCTTTATTATCATCTGCTTCTTCTACATCATCGCCAATGTCTGATGTCGTCGTTTCGATAGATTTCGGGGTTATAATAGCACTTCGAACAATCTGCAAAGAAAAAAAGTATAGACGATCAAAAAAACAACTCAGAACAAATGAGTTCTACGATGGACATTGGTCTGAAAGTGAAAGAACAACAAACCAGGAAGTAGGCTAGAGGGCCTAAATCTTCGCTCACCTGTCTTCGATCTCGATCTGACATTTCTTCCGATATCTTCGAAGCTTCGTTTGCTACATGAACCGTTGGCACTGCATCAGGCTTGAGAAAAGACTTGACTCCGAGCTGTAAAGCTATGTCTCTTCGCATTGTGAAGGAAGATTTCCACAGCTGACTAAGTTAGGGCCACCAGCAACACAGCGCTTTCCTCCTCGGCTCTGTTTCTCCACTCTACTCGCCATGTTGAAGTTGTCGTGATGAAGTTAGGATAGCGTGCCGCATTGTTCTTTGAAATTCGTGTTCTACTTTCTACGTCATCAGGCAGCTAGAAAAATTCGCACGCGATCTGCCAAAATCACCAACTTTGACGGGCCATAAAAAAAATTCTACCCCACCGAATTGAAATCGGTTTTCAGTATTGTAATTAGCGCATAATTTCTCGGAATATGAACAAAACAGAAAAATCGAAAATTTCGTTGCAGTAGCACTTTAATGTTTTAGAGTCATTTTGAAAACTGAAACGACAGTAATCGCTGAATATTATGTCTTCTCATTGTCCACTTGCTCAAAGCATCAGCCCACTGTGAGCAATAGTGTTGATTTCTTGCAGATATGCAAGTTTTACGCTTTCTTTTGTAATTATGAATATTGTATTTGTTCAAAATTTTCCTCACTAACGCTATAGAAGGATTTTTTTTAAATTTCGACATTTGACATCCGAATGAATAGTGTCAAGGTTGCACAGCCTATGCCTTCTTGCCAATAGACAAATGGTGTGTTGTCCTCTTTAGTCAATTTTTTCGGTGACCTGTCCTTGCACACTTCTTCACTGAGCCTGTAGAAATAAGTTTCTTATAAATTCTGGAGACCGTAGTGTGGCTGCAGCCAATTCCTTTGCCTACTTCAAAAAAGAAAGCCCGCTTTGACATAAAAAACGAACACCAACTCTTTCTTTGTACATCAATTCTCTAACTTTTCCCATTGTTTACTTTTTCAAATTTTTGAAAAAATTAACCCATATTTTGCTATTGATTGGTTTCTGAAATGGCATCAAAACATTTTTGGTAATTTTCCTGCCAAAATCACCACTCCAATTTAAATATGGTAGCCTTTACAATAACTCGAAATTTTGCCTTGTGAAAAGCTGTTCAGCGTTGCAGCCATTTTGGATTAGGGTGGTGCAATAACTTTGTGAGGGGAGTGTAAAACAACAGGGTGCATTGTGCAGTAGCTTTTTTCCAATAAACCAATTGCACTTCGTCCTGAAAAAACAAATGTGTAGTCCTTGGTAGTGTCACTAAGGACTAGTACTTGATCACTTTCCAAAGCCTTTCTGCGGTCTTTCAATTACCTTCCCTGGCATCTGGCAATAGAGGAGTTTGAGGTTCCCTGGCATCACTTCAACAATTTATTCTATAGAATCTTCAACATCTAACGACTGTTTAATCAAGTCCACTCTATCGGTACTCTGGCACTGCTGAAAAGTTATTTCATTGCCAAATTCTGAAAGTGACTTTCCAGAAAATTCTTGTCAACCACACTTCTGAGACATCTTAGGCAACCATGAAACATGCACATTGCATTGTCACTATTGCAAACCATGTTTATCAGATCCTTGTATGTCAGTCCAGTTTTAGTAGCATTAGGAAGCTGCTATGCCATAACTACTTTAAAAAAGTATCTAACAGAAGCAAGCATTTAACTATACGCGTTTCAACCAAACGTTGGCAGAAGAATCGCAGGAATCGAAAAGTAGGAGGACCATGATTCCTCCACCTGAGGATGGGGCTTTGCATCGACTTTGCGTTTCCAAGAAAAGATTGGGATTTGGCCTGGATGGACACGGAACTGGTGGGCGATCACCAGCTGCAAAATGGAAGCATGGGGTAAGTGGGAAGACCAATGGCACCATCAATTTTCCGTCATGGGACACCGACAAGTTTGTAGATCTTTTTACTCCATTTATAAGTATTTATATTCAAATAGTTTTTTCTGTAATTTTGGACAGGTCACGTTGCATTGAATTACCTCAGCATAAAGGCTAATGTCAAAAAAACAGCATTCAATTTCAACTCAGGCATAAACAATTCAGCTGTAGCGAGGAGTGATCACATATTCTGCATCCGAGTATTTAGTACCAAACATTTGATATGTAATGTTTAGTTGATTGCACAAATAATTTGGTTTCTTCTATGGAAAGAGGAGGACTTCTGAGAAAAAGAAGCCAACAACAATAATTGTAGAGTTTTTAGTTATTCCGATGGTTTGACTATGTGAACAAGCTGTAATGGAACTATTATCGAATTTTGATGTTCAGAAATGACCATTTTAGTGGTTTTTGTGTATCTGGACGTGTAGAAAGCTCAGCAAAATCTTTTGTAGATTGCAGTGTTCTCCGATTACCAGCTACGTCCAATGGTGCAGTGGAACATTGCAATACCCAGTAACTGGTACGTCAATTCCACTCCTGGAGGTTGTTATTGGCATGTTTCCAAGCAGGTATGTTGGTTTGGATTGTATTATAAGAAACAAAATTTTTCCCAAAAATTTCCGTATGAAATTTAATGTCAAATTTGTATTGTTTTGATTTTAATTGCTATAAAATAAGTATAATTTGGCCTCTCTATTTTGTTTTTGAATTCATAACATCTTATTTCATAACATTCTATAAAATGCAATGAAGTAGTTACCGCAACTTTGATGAAATTGATGCTACACACTCATTTTACCAAAATTATGCATGCTCCTGATAAACCTGTCTTATATAAAAAACATGTTAATGCAACACGTATTTCCATCCCCTCTTACTTGTTTTTAAAAACTAATTGTGGCATTGCTCAAAGAGTACCATCTTCCTTTTAGGTTATTGCAATATCCATATTACCAAGGCTTGATGACTTCCAAAGCAGGCTTGAAATTTAAAATAAAATGATGGAGACAGTGTGTGTCAGAAATAGTGTATGGTTTTTGAATGCAACACCCATTTTCCTGATGAATGACAAAAGATTGTGGACCTGTTGGGATGGTGTACACATTAGTGAAGATCGAGGGTTGGAGATTCTGAAGTCGTTTATTGGAAAGGAAGTGAGAGATGCACTTCAGCCAAAAAATGAAGATTCTGTTGAATCAACACCAAAAAAGAAAGCGGCCCAGCAGTGTCCAAAATTTATTTGGCGCAAGCTTAAGAACCAACGTCCTCTAGGTATGTTTTGGTATATTTCTAATAATGGTTACTTCGTATTTGATATAGTATAGAAACTCGTCTTATATTAGTAATATGCAACACAACATATATACAAGCATTTTCCTTGGTATAATGATTTCCAATATGCATTTTGAAAAAAACCGTCTTGTGAATAAGCATGTCTTTGATACTATTTACTCATAAAACATTTATGAATATAGGCCACAATGTCAAATGCAAGAAGGTGACTGTTGAAAGTCAAAAGCAGGAAGTTGAATGTATCAAGTATGTTTCCTCTTGCTTTTTTGCTAATCTTGCTGATCCAAAAAGTTTTGGAATACCAACATCAAATTTCAAAGGCAACTTCTTAATACCAATTTCTTAACATATTTTGCTAAAAAATTACGTCCACACGGCACCAAATTGTTCTAGATGTAACATATCTTGTAACTATGGCAGGCCTTTTTGTCCAATTTCAATGCACATGTTTTGTTTATACATGTATATCTGTATATTGCTATGGAAGTAAAAGTGTTAAGATAGCTCCTTTTTCAGAAAGAGAGAAAATGCAATTAAACCGACTTCAAGTCACGAGAAGCAATGTTTAAAAGGGCTAATTCTGGCAATTGCTAGACTGTCCTTGATTCTTGGGCAATGGGTGATCAAGCCTCCACACTTTAGCGGTGTTTACAGGCAAGCGATAAGTAAGGTAAGTGCGAGTGAACAATTTTAACTACTCATTTTAAGACCGTCTGAGCATTGCAATATGGTAATTCTTATATAAAACCTTGAACTCTTGTAAATAACATATGTCATTCAGCTGTTTCTTCTTAGGGTCAACATGACGACTTGATTAAAATACTGAATAAACAAGTAATTGCAACAAATGAAATAATGTTTTGTCTAAATATGGACATGTCCTTGCTTGGACCTTCTAAAATGTCACTGAGTACTCATCACAAGATCACTGAGTATATTTCTTTCTAGGGCTGCAAAAATTGAAAACTGAAAGCGAAAAGGAAAGTGAAGGCAACTAGCAATGGTGCGGATATCTTCTGATATGCAAATTGAAACGTTCTCTTTTCACTTTACATAAATATCATTAACATATATAATATAATGCAGAGGGAGGCAGTGAAGGCAAAAAGAAGGCAGTTACCATTCCGCGTTTTTAATTACATTTCCTCTTCTTTAGGAGCTGTCTAGTTTCCATACTGCTCAACCATATGACGTAATCAGTTTACCCTAAACCTAACCCTTACCCTAACCCTTTACTTGAAATAATTGATCATACTAATTTATGACTATTAATCATGCTTATTTATGACTATCAGGTTGAGCAGTATGGAAACTAGACAATTCCTTTTTTATGGTTCTGCTTCACTGATCATACCTTATATGAAATATGTTTAAGGGGTTCATTATTGGTGTTGCAACTTTGATGTATAATTATGAGAATAAGTCTTGAAATTGGATAAATGATTTTAGAGGGACTGAAGCTCTTCTAGCCCCTATCTCTCCTACGTTTATGACAATAACTTCTTTTTGATATGACAGATCTCAGAAATTTAAACCAGGAAAAAGTCAGCATGCAACCTCCAATCAGGCGCCAGAAAAAAGGTAACGTACCAGAAATTCTCTTTTAATCCCCTCTCTCTCAAGCCCCCCTTCTTTAAAATTTTTACTAATGCTGGAATAAGTAGACTTTACAAAAACCAGAGATTTTCATTTAATTCATTGGTCGCTCAATACCTACCATTAAATCAAAAGTTGCACCATGTCTCTTCACCTCACGACAGATTCGAAGACAAAGATTTAATGTGAAAGCCTTTTGCAAAAATTACAGGCCGCTGGTACACCGAGGGATGAAGACGACCATTTCGAATGCTTGATTTCAAAAAAGACAATTTAGAATTTATAATTAATGACGGCAACAATGACAATGTTATTGTTGTAGAAGGCTGATTCGATTTTTTTATTTCTCAAATAACAGAAAATTATTTTAACATAAATAATTTAAGTGCTTGAAAGTGCTGAAAACAATAAGCTCCAATGTAGTAGAGGATACAGTAATTTTAGGTATGTTATTTTGCTAGGTTAAAAGATAAATGGTTGTCAATCGGAAAAGAGATGGGCCCTGGATTCTGAACGACAAGCCAGTCGCAGAGATTACAATCTTCCCATTTTCTTATGCTGAGGCAGTCAAGGCAAAGAAGAAGCAGCCATCATGTCTGATATTCGTCACCGTGCCAACAGTTGGAATCAACTCAAGTGAAAAAGCGTCAACCAAGATAGAGAAAACAGAGACAGGTGGAGATTTGAGTAGCCCTTCAAGTAAAGGTTGCCGTAATTAACAAAGAGCCAGAAGACCCCTTACTTTTCCCTGGTGCAGACCCCTGCCTGCTTATCAGATATCTCAGGCACTTAGAAGAAGGCCAATAGTTGGTTTTAGCAACAAGAGAGCTGTAGTTAGGGACATAGCAGGTTATGGTAAAGTAGATTCAAATAAACAAAGCAACATATACCCAGATTTGCGATCCTCAGCTCAAGTGCATAATGCGGCTGCCAGCCAAAATGCTATTAAGTACTATAGCCGCATGGATTGTAGTGGTGATGTAAATTTTCCCATCCATGCTCCTTACCCATCTTCCTTTGACCAATGGAACATTTATTTTTGATAATTTTCAATACGCATCTAAGGTTGTAGGTAGGGCAGTAGATTTTTGCACCTGTTTTTCAAGGGATCATACATTTGGGCTGCCTAAATTGTTTGGATCTTGCATTGGGTTTGGGTCTTGCACGCAACCAAAGGCTAGGTTTCGCACCCCACAGGCCATCATTATTGAGAAACTTGAAGACATAATGCTCTCATTATCAGTAGATCCTGGTAGAAAATAGCTGTTATCTATTACGGTCGACTTCAAGGGAAACAACATAAAGGCACAAATCTTTTGAAATATACCTACTACTGCAATGAGCAGAAAAAAAACAGGTACCTACTATCATCGCCTGGTCAGAACCAAACAGACGATACTTCTCGTAAAAATCTAGCACTTGAAAAAGTGGATGATAGTATTGAGGTAAATAGCAATTAAATAAATTCCATAAATAGTGAAATTGTGACTGAAGGTGATTTTGCAATTTATGAGCCTGACGTTTCTAATGTGGAGCTTAGCAAGGGTTTGGCTACCCAATTCCCGACTGCTGACAATGGAACAAAAATGATTTGGTTACCTTAGCAGACTCTGTGAACGATGACCAAGAATTAGCAAACTATGAGGGTGATTAGATTCGAGAAATTATACAACCTGAATAGTCGGGTGCAAACCAATATCGTCAGAAAGAAATCAGTGACATGAAATCTGAAGCAGGATCAACCACCAATAATGAAGCAAATAGAACATCGGAAATTACTTTCACTGTAGACTTTGAAGCAAGGTATGTTGGTATAATGTTTTCCGAAGTAGCTAAGTGCATGCATAGATTTCGTTCTCTTGGTGAAACAATGGTCTAGATACCTGCGATGTTGCAGAGAAACAAATTGTAATAGTGCTAGTTTGGATTTCGTTTGTTTTGCATCCTGTAACCTTAGTAATTTTGTCACCATTCGCACATTCAATTGTTTATAATTCCTTTTGTTTTCTAATTGCAATTTTAGATTCATTAACTATTTCTTTTGGGATTTTTAGTATCATTATTCAGTTTATGTAATTAATCTTGGGAGTAATATATTTTGTATTCACTATTATTATGTAAATTTACGTAGCTATGTAGCATTACAATAAGTTTTTGTTTAGTTATATTTTGGGCATGTTACATTTAGAGTAAGTTTTTCAGTTAGGAATTGGAGTTGGAGTTGGAGTTGAAGTTGGAAATGGGATTCGGTTAAGAGCGGTAGGGTTAAGTCTTGATATTTTGTATATTTAGGTTCTTGACGTTTTACTTATGTGGCAAGATGCTTGTAAAAGATCTTGTCGGCATAAATTATGGATTTATAGGATACGTATAGCTATTTAAGACATCGCGTGTGACAACATATTTGATAGGAAAGTGCTTGAGAAAGACTGTGCCTGACATTAAGAGAACGAATCTTCGTTACGGGACAACCGTAGAGAAACATTATATTTACAAAACCTTTTATTGCGGAAAGATCGTTTGATCTGAAGAAAGACGTTTCAACATTATCATTGTTTCTATTTGTTTCTTTTCTCAAAGATGGAAGGATCATTTAGTCTCGACGATAACAATAGGGTGGATACATTCGTTTTGACAAAAATAACCCTATTACAAAATCTTCATCCCGAATTCCTCCATTTTCTTCAGAACATTTAGAAAGTAATGGGAGTGCAAATATGAATCTAAGGACCGATACATTAGAGGAAGGTTTCATACTTGTGAATGAAGATAAGATCATCCTCAGTGATGTAAAGAAAAAAATTTCATCTGATGAGGCCATTTACAGCTCTGATTTGATGAAAGGCTTAGAGAGAACAAAGGTAAGGAGGGGTATAACGGCTTCTGCCATTTTATCAAAAGTTTCTGTGCCAGTACCTTGTTAGTGCAGCTAATGTAACCGGGCAAAATTTAAATAGTTTCGGTATGCCAACTAGACATAGATATAGTGCCCATATCTTTGCTCGGATACTTAGTAGACATAGCCCATATTGTTCCTGGCATGTTTATGAAAACTATTTCAGGAAACCCGGGTCCCATAAGAAAGGATGTTTATTTTCATGCAAGAGCAAAATGTACCATGGAGGAATGCCCACATAACGCTAACTTAACTATATCTAGTCCTCAGCGTGTCAGAATGCAAATATCTTTTGACAGCGATGTCATTCATAAGCGTAGAAACATAACTGTAAAAACATTTGTGGGAAAGTTGGGGTCAATCTAGCTAAATCTAGATAAGGTCTTTTTGTCGAAAATTTTTCCTCCATCTAAAAAATACAGGGACGATTGGAGCGCCTTAGACGACATCTCTTTTTTAGCGGGAAATATGTCAGGAGTTGGTACTAGTAGCAGGTCATACCAAAAGATTGTTTCATTGACCAGGCAGGTTGCCAACAGTTGCGAGACTTTGCAGGCAAAAATTTTATTTCTGCAACAATTGCTTAGAATGAGGGATGAGGCAGAATCAATCAAACTCAAATGGACATTTAGAACTGAGTTTGGTTACATTCAAAAACCAATAATAAATCCCAGACATTTGCAAATTACGCTAATTGATCATGATGTGTTTTAACAAGCTCAGTGACAAATCAAGATAAATCTTTGTCAAAATTTTTTTACTATATTGCTGTAATTCGGCATCCTTACGCAAAAAAACTTGCTGAATTGCTGAATTTATAACCAATAAGTACGATCAGTTTGCTAATGAAGAGTTTCTTAGAATGATTCATGAAAAAGAATCCCTAGAATGGTTATGACTGACTTTAGCTGGGCTATAATACATGCTTGCCTAAAGGTATTCTGTAACGAGACTTGACGAATTATTTAAATAGGTCTTACCGTATAGTTATTGGTGAAGCAGCTGAAGAGAAATTATTGAAAACTCGTCTTCGTGTCTGTGCCACGCATATGATGAAATTTAAAAAAAGCATGCCTCGAAAAAGTTTTGTAAGAAGTTTAACTGTGAAAGCCAGGTACATTTTGCTATGCGCCTGTTTGGTCGTTTATTGAATTGCCATTCTTTGACTGACAGTATTTCTTTAGCAAAAAGCGCAAAAATAGTAATAACATTGGTTGCCACTCCAGCCACAAAAAAGGCTTTGCGACATATTGAAGTAAGTGTGAACACTTTTGAAGAAATTTTAGAGGAAGATACATTAGCTGAAGATGGTGACGAAGAGAGCTGTCAAGCAAATAATGAAGACCGCGATAACCATAGAGAACGGGGTATAGATGAAGCCGATAAAACGAGATCTAGGTTCCACAAAATTTGGAGTCAAGAACTTGATAGTGACGAGAACTCATAGGGGAGAGAATTGGAGCAGGAAAATACTGGCAAAAAACACGTACAAAAAAGGCAACAAATGAGCCTATAGAAAGAGACGTTGAAGACAATATTAACGTTGACAACTTCGCGGGCAGAAACATGTGTTACATGCCAGATTACTACAAGTGGATGTGAGCTAAGCTGCCATACATTGCCTTTAAGAGGAACATTTTCCTGCGTGACCAGAGTCGATATAGTAAATAATACATGGATCCTGAAACAAGCAATGGTCCAAAAAACCTTCCTCGACATTGACACAACTAATGCATATGCTAAGCATTTCTTCAACATGAAAAAGATTGATAAGGGAGATTTGAAAATGCCTATGGACAAGTTAATCAAAAAATGTTGGGAAGATCAGAGAGGCTTGAGAAGACAGTTTCTGAATGAATTGCTTTTAAAAATGAATACTGAAGCTAAGCAGCATACAAAGAAAAGTGTAAAAGACCAGAATACGGAAAAAAGGGAGAAAGAAGAAGCTGAAAAAACACTCAATAAATTTTTGAAAGAAGAAGCTTCACTATCTAGTAGTGAAGAAGATGATAACATAGAAATTCATACTCTTGAAGAGAGTTGGTCTAAAGAGGCAAATCCAAACGGTAAAAATAAACGCCAATTCAGGTAGCTATCAACAACCCCCTAAACATTCTGTTCATTTTGCGGCAATACAGGCGGAGAAGGATGTGATGGGAAGAAAAAGCAAGGGATAAGAGTCTTGAAGTCTTATCACAGTGATTAACTTTTTCTCACTATTTCTTTCCCAAGTTCAACAAGAGAAATCTTCCAGTTTTCTGGCTGCCTCCATATTTCTCCACCCAACTCTGGCACGATCTGTTGGGATTATTGGCTCCAACAGTATACTAACCTTTCAAATTTGATTGAAATCGAAATTGTTTAAGGCCATCTAAAAGTAATTTAACATTAACTTAACGACAACTGGATCTAAAGTTGGCTGTTGCATCACTGTAATCATAGGCATAAAATGCTGGAAAATTTTTCGGTATAGTTTTAGCAGAAATATAAAGTAAATCTCTTCTATTTGATTCCCTAAGACTCTTGACAAACTGTGAGTTTTGGGCTTTTTCTTTCCTGTCATTGGCGATTTCGAATAAAACTGTTCCAGTGGTTTTGTAACAATTGTCAATCAATCAAATTGGCGAGTCGCATGATAACCAACAAGTGTCCCCAGGCTTAGGCAGGTTATGGCAAAGGTGATTTAGGACTGCTTCAGAAAAATATTACAAGATTATCAGTTGTTCCAAAAAATTTCCCTATGCGAGGAATTTTGTTTGCTGACCTAGGTGTACATAAAAACATGGGCGACACAATGGTTGTAGTAAGCCCCTGGAAAAAGCTCAAGCATCTGAGCTTTAACTCCATTAAGGTGTCCACTCATTGTAGGTTCTCGATTGTATGGCTGTTCAATTAGCTTGTTTCACTGCTTTCAGGCGTTACTTCAAATTTTGAAAGTGAACTTAGCAGAATTTTTGTTAGACCCTCTTCCGACCAACTTCTGAGGAATCAATTAGACCTAGCAAATGCTCTTCCACCTTTCCTCCATGTAAAAGACACTGCTGACAGCTCTACGTTGTTGCAATCACTGCTATCGCCCATCATCACTGCTATATACTTCGAATGGCTAATTCTATGTCGAATTTCACAGTAAACATCTTCAGCTATACAGTCTATTAGCTCGTTTTGAAGATCATGAGATGTGTAGGTAACACGTTCTTTATCCAAGAAGGATCGCAGTTCCTGGCTTTAAAATGATAAAAGATCCATGAGCTCTATGAAATTACCTCTGTTTGATAAGGTAGCAAACTCATAATGACCTCGGAAACGAGATTCTTAGCAATTGTAACAATCTTTCTGATAGATTCAGACACAGAATTCATCAATTTTGACAAAATATCTGCAACGCAGAGTTCAAGTCTCGGAATTGTCGAATCTTTGAGGGGTGCCACTCTAGTCTTAGCTGCAATCAGCAACGAATTAATGCCATTATTTGTCTTAAAAAGGGCATGAACACAGGCTCCTCAAGCTTTGTTTGAAGCGTCACAAAAACCATGAAGGTCACAATTCTCAACATCTTCTGCTTTTACAAAACAATTTAGATCAATTACAATAGATTTAGATTCTTCAATATTGTTGAGCCATTTTTTCCAAATAGTTTCATGTTCTTTACTCAAAGGCTCATCCCAATGAAGTTTCAAATGGCTTAGTTCTTGCAACAATAATTTGGCTGTAAAATCACTGGTGAAGCAAGTGCACGGGGATCACATAAAGATGCAGTTACCTTTAAAACATTTCTTTTAGTTGGCAACAATGACTTTCCAACATCTGCAGTTGAATGAAATTTTCTTTCAATTTCATCTGTTTTCTTTATTCCAAATAACTCCCAACACTTTATGCTCTTTCTCCTTAATAACTTCACCATAATTACTTAGGCACAACTTTGCATACGATTCAACGTCAACATCAACAACAACTTGAATTTAAAGGAATGTTCACCTAACCCCAAAATCCCACCCAAAATAGGATTCAAAACCCAATAAATCTAATATAAATATTCTCTCCTGTTGCTACAAGGCCTTTTATACTAAAGAGTACCTTCCAAGCATACCTAGTTATAAAAAACAGTATGCTTAAAGTACGGCAAATTTGCTTATTTTTGTGGGTTTTGCCTCCTACCCCACACCCCCACATGAAAAATGAATTTCTGCTTCTAAATATACATAAAATGATGTTGGCTTTTTCTATGCAATACTAGAAGTACCTTCTGTTTCAATATTTCTGCAGCCCTTCTCCTATAAACTCTATCCGATAGGCCCCTTTAAAATGAAAACTGAAATTAATTGAATAGCATGATTCAATTGGCGGGGAAGGCGGGCATTGGAAACAAGGCTGATCTCTGAGAATGTCATAGATACAAGACGCCAATAATTCGCCAAAAGAGACAGTTTTAGTTTATATTAATATAAAAGGCGCTCCGTTCAAAAAATTTCACGGACACCCAAAAAAGTAATCTGCCAAAACTGCTCCCAAAAAATAAACCCCATTTGGGTGTAGTTTTGGCCAGAAAAATTAAATGGCCGGCCTAACGTGGGATGAAAAATTATGACCGTGAAAGTTTTTTGTGTAACCATGTCAGCATTTTCCAAAAACCTGATCTAGACTTGAACAATCAACTGGTCAAAATTTCTTGAAATACGCCCCCTGGGAAAAAAGATATTGTTCTCATTATAAAATAAAAGCTTGCAACATGGTATTACAGCAAAGCATCATATCAACCGAAAATTTCATAAGAGAAAACAACATACAACAACAAAACAACTCCTAGCCGACTCAAATAATGTTAGTTATACGGACAGGGAAGGGACATAAGTCCCTTTTAAACTTATCTCATGCCCTTTTTTAGTTTAGTTACATTGAAAGTAAAGCCAAAGTTAAACATTCTATCGACAATATATTGTTATTTCAGTAATTAGAGTCCATTAATAATCAACCGAAACTGTCATCCTTCTATCCCTCTGTGATCTTCTGTGGCCTGCTGGGATGGCTGGTCTTTCATTACCTTTGCCATCTTATATATCATTTTGCAAAATTGCTTTGCTGGTGCCTTTTCTGGTTTTTTTTCCTGGATGTGCATCATTAATATTTTCAAGAAATTCAGAAAGCTTTTTTATGTCATTTTCATCATCTGCTACGAAGAGATAAATTTTCAAAATTTTGTTAGAAAAGAGGAACTTGCAGTGCTGGTTGGACTGTGAAAACAAAACATTACTGTCAGTTTTCTCATACATGCGTGCTAAAAGGTGGAGCTTCAGAAACTTTGCCATTCCAGCTAAACTAAACGGTTTCTGTTACTCAGTGGTTGATTTGGCGCGACTGTGCAACTTCAGATGTCACTCTTTTTAGTCTATCTATAGACAAGTCATTAGGATTTTATTAAGCATGTTAAAAATTGTCAACTTGTGCACCTCTCCTACTGCTGGAAATGGGCATTGTGAGTTTCCTCGGTTCTACACTGGACTAACTCACTGGGCTGTAATGGTTTTTTTCCAGATTCTAATATTCCCTTTCTGTGTATTCAGCGAACACTCTTAGCTTATTCCCAAGGTCTCTGTATGATTTTTTCCATCAATTCTTTATCTTGTAGACCAGGCTCAAAAATCAAATTCTCATCAGCGTCTTCACACATGAAATTTAGAATCTCCTTTTCTGTTAAAGAGTCATCGCTGTGAGGTTAAAAAAACCAGGTATTCTCTTTGCTTGCACCTGGTTTAATACTGAGGGACTTCAAATCTGCCTGACATAGCTTGAGACCTTCTCTCCATGCTCTACACATTTCATCATCTCCTGGATATGCTTTCGGGTTGTCAGGTTCTTCATCTTCGATAAAAAATTGCTGCAAATAGTCCATAGAGCTTAAATTCCTGAAAATTTCTGTTAAATTGAGATTTCAAAAAGAGTTTATGAGAATATGGTCAAATTTTTACAGCTTTTCAAAATACTCTTTATTAGCATCTATGCAAAGTTTCCTTTTATTTAACCAAATAGAAAAACAATTTTTCCATTTGTCACCAGGAATGTCCAAAATTGCCTCTTTAAATGCTTCTAACGGTGTCATCCGGACTATCAATGTTCGTTCCACGCAGTTTTTCTTTGATGGTAGGGAAAAGGAAAAAGTCACAAGGTGCCAAGTCAACTGTCAGTGCTGCAGTGTGAGCCGATTCGTTGTCATGGTGCCATAGGATCTTGCGCAAACCAGTTTTCGAACGTTTTTCTAGACATGCATCTAGCACTTTCGGCATGCACTGGTTTACATACCAATCCATGTTTACTGTGCGGTGATCATCAAGAAGAATTGTTGCCACATGGCCCGTTTTTCCAAAAAAAGAAGCGACCATCTATTTGCCGACGCTTCTGGAGCGCTTGAATTTTTGTGGTGGCTGCTCCGCGGAAAGATCCAGACTGACGCCTGGCGTTTCGTTTCTGGGTCAAATTGGTAAATCCAACTTTCATCACCTGTGACGATGTCATACACATGTTTGGAGCAATCATAATATGTCATTGCGCGAAAATCATGTCTTTCAAGCTCCATTTCGAAAATGAAATTTACAGGGAGAGTCCCCTCTTTTAAAAGTTTGTTTAAAGATATCTTTTGGTGCAAAAAGACAAGAGTTTGCAAACAACGTTTATAAATGTGTAGGTTTAAAAAAACCTGTAACATTGGATTTATAACTTTATAATGTTGGATTTGCGTTGAATTTTGAAAATCTCAATAATTTCGGAGTGACCCTCGTAATCTTGACCACTTTCATGCGATCTTTGCGACCTATATCTTCCTGTTGACGAAAAAAGGGTGTAGATAGTTCGATTGTAAATATTGTCTAGTAGTACTTAAATTTTTAAATATGCCTCTAGATTTTTCAGATATGATTCTAGGAAATTTTTCTCACCTGGTGGCAAAAGAATACCTAAATTTCAACAATATCTGAATTTGTGTCAGGATAGTGTCCCTCAGTCATCAACATCTGGTGCAAGTCAATAGAAAATTGGTAAAACACCTGGCATCAATATTCAGCCAGGGATGGATGGCTTCTGTCTTATACATACAAGTTTTTATTGAAGAATTGCTTGACTTTGTTGTCTGCTTAAAATGTAAGGCTGGCAAGCTAGTAATAAAAGAAGACACTTCAAAAAAGATGTGACTAGCATCCTTCTTCACTTTCGAGTGTAGAACATGTGCCACTGGCTGCGAAATGCTTACCTTTCGACGTTGTAAAGGTTCAAGCGCCTATGAGATCAACTACAGAATGGTACTTGGGCTCTGGTGCAGGGGAATCTTCCTTAAGGAGGCTCTACTGAGTTTTGAACATGCCAAAAGAAATGTCTGATGATGCTTTCATTGATAGTGTAACCAAAATAAAAAGTGCACTAGAACTGGAAGCATCATTTAGCATGAAAAAAGCAGCCAAGGAAAAGTATCATGCAATTGGAATCCCAGAGGATCAAGTTGCAGAATGCAAGGCCATCTTTGATGGAACATGGCCCAAACGAGGATACTCCTCCCTGCAAGCAGCAGTAACAACAATTTCTGCTGTTACTGGAAAGTGCCTGGATTATGAGGCCCTAAACAAGGTTTGTTTTGGCTGTTCAAGATGGCAAAAGAAATCAGGTGGTCCTGAAAAAGATAATTGGAAGGCCAATCATAAAGGCAAAATTAATTTTGTTTGCTCTGCTCCTGCATTGGAACCTGAGGGGGTGAGCCGTATATTTGTCTGCTCAGTAGAAACAAGGAAGCTCCAGTATACTGGCTATATAGGGGATGGAGATTCGGAGTCATTTTCCTCTATAAAAGCCAGTAAGCCTTATGTAAAAATTGAATGTGTAGGGCATGTTCAAAAGCGAAAAGGAACTGCCCCTTCAGAAAGCTGAAATTGCAGAAATTCAAAGCAAAATTAGCAGACAGCAAATCAACTGGAGGAGTTGGCAGACTTACAGCTGTAAGAATAGATAAGCTGCAGACACACTATTGGCTTGCCACATGCCGCCATAAAAACAATAATGAAGCCATGAAGAAAGAGATACTGGCAGTCTTATGCATCAACAGATGAGAACCCACAGCATCAAAACTGTTACATGGGTCAGGGTACTTGGTGCAAATACAACAAGGCCATGTTACAGAAGAAACAATTCAACCACAATTCCGAATTCAACAATTCAACAACAATTCCGAATAAAAATCTCTTTTTTATGACAAACAGAGCTACTAGCTGTTCAAGATAATGCTTTACAAATACTGCTTTCATAGTGATTTAACTGGTGGCTAATAATTTCATATGTTCAAAAATTTATATTTACATGTCTTTCTTTAGCCAACAAACATGATGGCAGCAGTTATATTGTACTGGTGTGGGGTTCTCAGAGTAACCACCCTGTTGCCTAACTGCAACAAAAAATTCTGGTCAAATTCTTGCGATCATAGAATAAATTTGACTTGAAAGAAACTTTCTCTATAAAAAGAAAACAAACCTTTGCTTCTGGTAATAATCTTTGCACTCTTTGCTTCAGCACAAAGACTTGTCAGAAAAACCCACCTCTGAGGCAAACTTTGGAACAGGGTTGGTCAAAGTCTTGTTTGATGGCAAATCTAGCAACTTGGCAAGGAACCTGTAGGCATGACTGTTGAGGATGACCAATCAGTGGCGCTGGCCTATTGAGAATGTCACCAACGGAGTCAATCAGGTGCTCACGTTTTTGATTGGCTTATTTCGATTCAAAACTGGGTATATTTATTTCCTAACATAGAGTTGTCGATCTATGTTCTGACGTTTTCAACTCGGAATACTCTGTAATGTTATATATTGACTGTAGATTCTGAACTGTAGGATGAATTGCCAAAGACATCATCAAATACATCTCTGATTTGCATTGTGCCTTGAAATCTATATCAAGATAAAATAGTTAAAAAAAGCTTTCTTTCTGCAGACAACTTTCTTTTACATCCAATTGGTGGGGGTGGATTCGGCAAATCAAAGATAGTGGGAATTGTTTCTTTTAGAAGGTGGGTACGAATATTCTTAAATTTTTGCAAGAATTCTGGTTTGAAATGCTTTTAAGCAAATAAAAAAATTTCTGCTCAGATAAGATGGCTTTTTACCCATCAAATACAATCTTCTGCAACTCTGCAACCATTTCTTACACCTAATAAATAAAATAAAATCAGGATTTGCTTTCATATGTCTACAAATTTCGCAACTATTTTTTCAAGGGGATGTAGGTTTTCAGTTAGTTAGAATGCCACCTTTTCTTTGGTCAATCAAAACGCAACCCTGCTATTTCTTTTTTTAACGCTACAATTGTATTTCATTGTAGAAAAATTTGTTCAATAAGGAGTGATTTATCATAAATATATAACCTTGGGACATAATGAAAACATTTCTTGGCTTACATACAAGTTACTGAGCTGGAATCTAATTTATTTACTGCGAGTGATCAAAAGAAAATAGTGAAAACTAAGTTCTGGATTTGAGATCCTGACATAGTTGTCTTCCACACTCAATGATTGATAGTTTAAAAAGCGCAAGGAAAAAATTTCTGGTTAGTTGGCCTCATTCGCATGTTCCCCATACCGGTGCATTGGCATGAAAAAAAGGTATTGCCTCTTGAATAAGTAGAATTTCCCTTGGTGGAGGGCCTTTCTCTATTCTGTATCAATGTCTTATCCTGCAGTTTCTCTATAGAAACGAAAAGAAATAATAAGCTGCAGCTGGTTGCACTCACAAAGCATGAGAGCTATAACCTAAAACCCACCATGTGAAATAAAATGCTGTAAAAGGAACAGCTTAGATCCTGCCTAGTATCATTTGATATATATGTTTTAATGTGGGAAGAGGCGACATACAGATCTACATTGACAAATTCAAATTTTGCTAGTACCTAAAGATGCACAGAAAAAGCAAGAATGGCTGCAGCCTTTTTGTTATTTTTTGTGAGATACCTTGCCAAAGCAGCAACATCAGGAATAACAGCTGATAAAACTGACTGCTTACTGCCAGATTTCTTAGTAATTCTAAAAATGACTGTAACAAAAGGAGCACTTTGATTGCAAGCGGCCACTCTTTGGCATTTTCTTCTGCAAAAAGCTTTATTTTGGCCTTTAAAATGTCCAGCAGCTGTAGCAAAAAAAGTACTGTTCCAGCACATTTTGCATTCTGCACAAGTAGGAATGGTTATTTTGATGCATTTTCAATTGGTATCTTCTTGAATGTAGTGCATGCCTTGCTAGAATGATTGAAATGCGTCCAAATCTTTCTTGCTTTAGCACAAATATCATTCACTGAACTCAGATTGAGTATTGAACATTCTTTGTATCATTATAGTTGATGTATGAAACAGTGAGTTCTGTCAAGCTCTGAGAGACATGCTCGAAGTGTTTTATTTGAAGCACTCACTGAGTGAAGCACTCACATATTGACTTGAATTAAATTAACCTGGCTAATGGAAAAAGCCTTTGCAGCTGAAATCTTTATCAAACCAGTGCCCAGTTAACCATATGAATAACTCATTGGACTTGCTATGAGCTTTCAGTGCAGTAGAACAACCATTCTTGTGAAAGGATACTTTTCAAATTCATCAGGCATTAAAGTTTCAATATGTTTTATAGGAGGAAAAGGATAAAGAAGAGGCAGTTCATGGTATAAAAATTCGATCTAGGTACAGAATATTGTTAATGAATGGAATTTTAGATGCATGGAATTCTTTATGCATGAGATGTCTAATCTGCCTGCAAGATTATTCAAAACAAACCAACTTTTAGACTCATTAAAACAAATATTATTCTTCAAAATATGATAGCTTTCTTTTAGGACCTGGTTTGTAGATGATTCTTGCCACTCTGGTCTTTGTTTGGATTTACCATGAGACTTTGAGCCACACCAGTAAAAAATATACTGCAACTTTGGTTCCAGATACTCGTAAACACAACTAAAAGCAGAATATTTCGGAAAACCAGTATAAGATTTTATTTCATGATCATCATTACGTAAGTTATCAAGAGAAAATATGGGTTGTATGAAACAGCCAGTTAGGTATTTAACATGGATACCTAAAGAAAAAAATTTTCAAATGTTTTTTTGGGGGTTAACATTCCCTCTCTGTTGATTACTTCCTCTGTTGATAACTCACTCTGATGAGCTTCAACGGAGGAACTGCAACATGATGCAGGAAGTATGATTGATTAGTAGACAAGAGAATAAAAAAACTGCCTAAAAATCCTCATTAACTTGTTTTTAACATTTAAAATCATTGTGATTTTCATGTTTGCATGCTTTTTTAGATCGATAATATCATTTTTTGTAATAATACCCTCCCTTTTTAAATCTTCTCTGTGTAGCCCTGTTGTGTAGAATGCGTGATTATCCATATGTACTCATTATTGGGACCCAGGCTCTCAAATCATGTATTTTCTGTGTGGTTTGATCAGTCAGTAATATCGTTTACAGAGAACAGAGCAGTAAGAATTTGTGTATTATATTTGTTGTCAAAGTGGATACTTGAAGATACAGTTGTTTTGTATATATTTTATGGTAATGACTTGACCTGCCTTTTATGTGTCACTTCATGTCTGGACCCAACTATACAGCAAGCATCCTTCAGAACATCAATAATTTAATAAGTCCCCAGTGGCTTAGTAGAGCTTTTACGGTAATAACGAGTTTCTTTTAAAAATAGTATCTTGAGACTTGAGACTTGAGACTTGAGACTAGCAGCAGCCCTTTGACATTATGTAAAGTATCTGTGAGACTTTTTTAATGCAAAAACATCATTTTTTCTGTCTATAGAAGGAAGATTGGCATCAGGATTGCTTGGTGCTAAATCGTGTATTGAATAAGGGTATTTGATTTCCAGGCATGCTTCTCCAGACATGCTTCTCCAGGCATGCCCTGGTACAGTTCGTTGAACTGGTTGAAAGATCACATTTTATGCAAGGAACAATATTAAATCTTTGTTTTGAATTTGAATCTGTTGAAGATGAAAGTGATGTGAGTAATAATTCATTTTCCCGTGTATCCATCTACAAAACCTATTCAAGATCAGAAAAGTTAAAGCTGAAGCAGCTGAGGCTATTGTCAAAAAGATACCAAGCTTTGGTTGAATGCCCTCCCACTCTTCTCCTAAAAAGGCTAGGCTTACAGATGATCAACATTTTGGGCAATTAGTGGCAAGGAAACTAGCTAAGTTGCCAGAGTCAGAGGAGAGAGAGTATTTGAAACTCAACATAAAGAACCTGATTAAAGATGTACAATTCAAGAAGAATAATGAAAATTAATGTTAGATGACAAATTGTGAATCATTCATAAACACCCAATAGTAAGGGGTATAATAAAGGAGGATGGTTGGCATCTTTTAAAGAAAGTTTGGGGGTAATAATAAAAGAAAATGGGTATGGCTGTCCATAATCACAGTAACACAGTAACAAGGGCAAAAATTTGATAAACAGTATGGAACCCAAACAAATTAAAACTATTGCAATTAGTTACTGTAACATTAAAAAGACAGGAAAAAGGCTTTACTCTGTGAACAATTTAATCCACCTACTGCTTAGTAACTTTTTTACTTGACCTTAGAAATTTTAAATCTGTAATTTGGGTTATGGTGTGAATAAAAAAGGAAGGATTTCGATTTTCTACAAAAATTTGTATTAGTGGGCTTCTTATAAATGGGAATGGGTGATGAAATTTTCAAGAATTTGCTATCTGGAGCCCCCATACTAATGGGTGTCAAAGAGTGGTAAAATTAACTTGGTTTTAGGAGAGCCGGGCGATAACCAACCATTGTTATTATTTTTGGAAGACTGATTCTTTGTAACATCCTATAGATGCTCATGGCCTTTTATCAAGTAACTACATGTCTGTACTGCCATGGCATGGCACCTGGCTTATTCACGTATTCACACAAGAAGTTGCGCATTTCCTCAGCATTCTGAAAACATATCTCTTTAGTTTTGGGGAGTGCTGTGATATTTGTTTCTTCAGCATTTATTGCCAAGCCCCCAACTGCTCTTCGCCATTTAAAAATTCATGATCAAATGTATCTGGTGGAGCATAGATACTTGATGACCTGACCATCAACATGTTATGGAAGGCACAACATGCTAGTATTACTTGAGTAGCATTTTCTGCATTAAGGCACATCATGCTGTAGAGTACACGGAACCTTACAGACATTATTTGAAACCCCTTCTCACTAACTCTTATTGCCCTTCATAATCTGTAACTAAAAATGCTTTGTTCTTCCATCAGTTTTCTTTTGGAGTATGGCTTTATCAGATGAATGCCAATGTGGAAAGTATCATCACAAACAAAGAAGTGTTCAATTTTTTGATCAGGGTTGTTTTCAAAGAGTAGATCTGGGCTTTTTGGTAGGGTTTTTGGTTCCGGTAGGTTAAAAATTCCATCAGATACCACAGATAGATATTCCTCTGCTGTTATGGGAGCTCTCATGGCAGTAACTTTGTTGGTCAAGTAATGGTCTTGTTTTGCATAATAATTCCTACAAGACAGGAAATTTTAGAAATAATTTGTTGGTGACATCACACTTGAGAACACTATGTAAGAAATGCGGTCTGCAAGAGAGCACACAATAGATTTTGCATAATTAGAATGTTTTTTCTAACAAAGTAGGGTGAGGAATATTTTTTTAATTGTTTCAGAATTAAATTATGTTTTTTTATAGTAAGGTAAACAAGGTTGATCCATTTTGGAATTTTCAAAATGTTTTATTATTGTAAATGATATAAAACTGTGGCTACTTGGTACCAAAAATTGAAAAATGGATTGTTCTCTAAATCGCTGGCTCCACATGAATTCAGAAAGGTAATCTTCCACTATTCTTGATTTGTTGGACCGTACATTGCCTTGAACTTCACTTTGGCCCTCCTCCACATTGCCTCCACTCTGTTCAATGTTACCCATATCAAGGGGGCCACAAAATACAAGTTGTGGTTAACCATTTCGTGGGCAAACCCAAGCTGTGGCAGGTTCTGATATCCTGCCTTGATATCCGTCCATATCATTGTGTTGAGTTCCACCCATTGCTGGATGATCGGCAGCAATGTATCTTGGTCCATTGCAGGGACTGGTACCAGGAACCCTTTCTTCGTCTCTTTCTCGTATCCGTCCAGTATCCACTGCTCTCTCACAAGGTGATCACGAACTGCTCACTCACAGTCTTTCATCGATTTTAACAATGTATCTATTTCCCCCTAGAAGCTTTGGGTGGTTCAGAAAATGCTGCACAGCCGCGTCTCTACAAAACTGATTCCAATCAACAATTGTGTGCTCTTCGTTCATATTCAGCTCCCTCATTGTCTTCAACACAGACAGCCCCCTCAGGCAGCCTGCACTTGTAGCCCACAGATATTTTATGGAGATCTTTCACGTTATGTGATCAAAATTCGAAAATTTT